TTCGACGTCATTTTGACATACCCCTCCTGCTACGTACGTAATTCGCTGGCGGTGGCTCGTTATCTCCGCCTGATCAGTCGGCCTCTACGCCTACGTTGGTACGGAACGACAAAACAACGACAGACCAGATATCACGATCATCTCCACACCATATCAAATGCCCACTCATCCCCGCCGCTCACGGTCTCTCCGAGAGCCTCCAGCCACCCGCACACAACATCAATGCACCACACCAAGGACCGACATATGACAGCACGCACTCACACTGCCCCCGGCAGCCGTGCCGTTCTATTTAACTAAACACCAGCCTAAGTACCGTCCCCCCTCCCCCCGCCTACGCCGCCCACCCATGCCCCCCCCCCCCGGCCGCACCTCCATACCACGTACGACCGCGCCTACGCCTCGAACGCCTACCACCCCCACCACCACCACCAGCACTACGTCCACGAGGACGAGCACCACGCCCAAGCAGGGTACGGCCCAGACGACGACAGCGGCCTCTACTCGGACGACGAGGTCGCACAGGCCCTCCAGGGCCACACCGGCCAGGGCCGCTTCCAGTACCACCACCACGACGACCCCGACTACGCCCCCGACGACGACGACCAGCAGCATCCCGACCACGACCAAGTCGAGGGCAACCCCGACGACAACGACCTCGACGACACGGCCTCCTTCTCCGACTCGCTGTCGTCGTCGCCCTCGATCCCAGACGACGACATCGACTTCAACCTCGTGTACGCCCTCCACACCTTTCTCGCCACCGTCGACGGCCAGGCGAGCGTCGTCAAGGGCGACAAGCTCCTCCTCCTCGACGACTCCAACTCGTACTGGTGGCTCGTCCGCGTCCTCAAGACCCAGGCCATCGGCTACATCCCCGCCGAGAACATCGAGACCCCGTGGGAGCGCCTCGCCAGGCTCAACAAGCACCGCAACGTCGACGTGCGTCCACCCCTCCTCCACCTCGACGCGCGACACCCTGACTGACACTCTCTCGGCCCCGCCCCCTCGACAGCTCACGAGCGCGACCCAGGCCGACGTCCTGAGCGGCCCAACCTCGACCGCCGCCCAGACCCGCTTCGTCGGCCGCATCCCGCCCTGGCAGCAGCCGCACCCGCACGAGTCGCGCCACCCGTACTCGAAAGGCGTCCCGGCCTCGCCCTCGCACAAGGACCACCCGCGCAACATCTCGCCCTCGGGCCTCGAGCGCCCGGCGAGCAGCAAGGCCAAGACGGTCCTGTTCGCCGCGCCGACCTATTATGCCCACTCGGCGAGCGGCATGACGAGCGAGGGCGAGGACGACGAGGGCGAGAGCGTCGGCGTCGGCGGCGACGAGGGCGACTTGCTCGAGGAGGAGGAGGGCGACGACGAGCACGGCGAGGTCGAGGGCCTCGGCATCGACGAGCGCGACCTCGGGCCCGAGCGCGACGGCGACGACGACGACGAGGTCGATGCCGAGGGCAGGCGGCGGCGGTACAGCCGGCCCGAGGACGGCGGCGACGAGGGCGGGTTCGACGAGGACGACGAGGACGAGCGCATGCACGATGGGAGCGACACCGACGACCGCGCCCGCGACGAGTACGGCCGGCCAGTCGCCGCCCGCTCCTCCTCCTCCTCCGCCTCCGCCTCCCACCCTCACGCCCTCACCCCCGCATCCGCACCCGCACCCGCATCCGCACGCCTCGCCGACACCGACGCCGACGCCGACGACCTCAGCCCCGAGTCGCGCCGCGGCCACTCGCCGTACGCGCTCGACGCGGGCGCCGTCCCGCCCGAGGCGGCCGAGCACTGGGAGCGCGAGCGCGACGCGGCGCTGCACGCGCAGCACGAGGCCGCTGCGGCCGAGGCGCGCTGGGCCCGCGGCGGCAGCGCGCAAGGTCAGGCGCACGAGCCGCGCTCGCCGTCGAGGGGCCCGCTCACGGTGCAGGACCTCGCGCCGCCCGTGTCGCACGTGCCGGCCGACCTCGAGCTCGGCATGTCGCTGTCGCCGACGCAGCTCGCGCCGCAGCCGCACGCGCAGCGCGTCGCCTCGCCGCCGACCACGACGCGCTCGCCCCTCTCGTCGTCGGCCTCGCCGCCGCTCTCGTCCTCGACCGCGTCGGCGTCGGCCTCGGCGCTCGACGACGGCCTGTTTGTCGACCCGGCGGCGCCGACCAAGAAGCTGAGCGCGACGCCTCGCATCGCGCGCAACAGCACGACGAGCGCCCTGAGCGCCGGCAGCGCCGCCGAGTTTGACGAGATGCTCGGCCTCGGCATCAACGGCGGCGAGCAGCAGCAGCAGCAGCAGCAGCGCGCCTCGACGGCGTCGCCGTACGCCGGGCCCGTCAGCTCGAGCTCGGCGCCCCGCCCGGGCTCCCTCGCCCGTCCCAGTCCCGGTCCCGGCCCTGGCGCCGGCGGGCCACCGCCACAGCGCGTGCGCGGCGTCGACCTCGTCGACCCGCGCGACCCGCGGTACGACCGCATGCTGCAGCCGACCAAGCAGGCGGGCGAGGATCTCGTCTACGAGCGCATGGTCGCGCAGCAGCAGCTGCGCGTCGGGCCTGCCGCCGCCGGTGGGCCGCCGCAGCGCGCCCAGGGGCGGCCGTCGAGCGGGCTGTACGCGAGCGGCGACGAGGGCGACGAGGCGCAGCTCGGCGCGTCGGCGGGCTCGTCCAACGTCGGCGGCGAGGGCGACAAGCGCGCGTCGACGTCGGCGGACAAGAAGCGCAAGAGCGGCGGCGGCATCATGAGCTTGTTCCGCAAGAAGGACAAGAAGAAGAAGGGCGACGAGGGTGCCGTCGCGGCGGGAGCAGGAGGAGGAGGAGGAGCGGCGGCAGGGTTGCGCAGCTCGGAGGACAGCGCGCAGGGCGGGAGCAGCAGCCCGACGAGGGGCGCGTTCCGCCGCAGCTCGTCGTCGTCGAGCCCGAGCCTCGGCGCGAGCGAGCCCCGCTCGTCGGCCGACCGCGGCGGCAGCTCGTCCGGCCACGGCGGCCCGCCGTCGTCGTCGCGCGCCCAGGGCCCGCCGGGCGCAGCGACGGCCGAGTCGATGTTCTCGACCGACGCGGCGCTGCGCCAGCAGGAGCTCGAGGCGCGCCAGGCCCTGTTCCACCAGTACGGCGTTCAGCGCTCGCCGGGCGACGTCAGCAACACGATGACGCCCAGGGGCGCGCCGGGCGTCCTCGTCGTCAACGACGAGTACCAGGGCCCGAGCGGCACGAGCGTCGGCGGCCCCGGCGGCAGCAAGCGCAACTCGATCCAGCTCCTCAACTACCCGGGCGCGCTCTCGTCGTCGTCGGTCGGCCCGAATGGTGCGGCCGGCTCGCCGTCGGCCTCGTCGCTCGCGCCGCCGCAGCGCATGCGCCCGGGCAGCCTCATCGGCTCGCCCAACATGGCCGGCGCCGGCGGCCTCGAGGTGCCTGTCCTGAGCGTCATGCGCGTCTTTACCGGCGCCCATATCGACTCGGAGGCGACGTTCAAGACGGTCCTGCTCAACGCGACGACGACCGCCGCCGACCTCGTCAAGCAGGCCATGCAGCGCTTCCGCCTCACGGGCTCGGACGTGACGCGCGACGACTTTTACCTCACGGTCAAGGAGCTCGGCGGCGACGAGCGCGCCCTGCGCGACGACGAGCACCCGCTGCGCGTGTTCGAGGACCTGTCGGACCGCAGCGCCGAGGGCGACGAGGCGGGCGGCTTCCAGCTCCCGCCGAGCGTCAAGCGCTCGTCGATCGGGAGCATCAACTCGATCTCGAGCAACCTGTCGATGCACCCGGCCATTGCGAGCTCGGGCGTCAACGACTGGAGCGACGACTCGGCCGTCAAGTTCTACCTGCATCGCCGCGGCGGGCCTTCGTCGCCGCTCGTCGGGTCGCAGCCGGGCGACCAGGGCGGTCCCGCCGACGCCTCGTTCGCCAACCCGTCGTCCCTCGACCACCACGACAGCACGGCATCGTCGAGCGACGTGACGGCGACGCAGCAGCAGTCGTTCCTCGGCAGCAGCACCAGCAGCATGGCGACGACCGCGCCGTCGTACCGGTTCGCCGTCCGCGTCCTCATCCACCCGTCCGACCTGCCCGAGACGGTCGTGTTTGACCCGTCGAGCACGGCCATCATCCCTCGCGCCGTCCTCGCCGAGCGCCAGTCGCGCGCAGGCGGGTTTGCCGACCCGTCGCCGGCCCTCATGACGCTCCCGCCGCGCGAGAAGGTCATCTTTTTCCCGCGCAACGCCAACGTGAGCGAGGTCATCGAGACGGCCCTCGACCGGTTTGGCATCGTCGACGGCGTCGTGGACGGCGGCGACGAGGTCGAGGACCGCGTCAACCGCCGCAGGAGCCAGGCCCGGGTCAAGTACGGGCTCGCCGTGCAGCGCGACGGTCAAGGTGCGTCTCTCGCTCTCTCTCTCTCTCCTCCTCTCCCTCTCCCTGAGCCTCTCGAGCTGACCATGACGCTCACTCGCCCGTACCGTCGCCCTCGCAGAATCGTTCCTCAACGCCTCGAGCAAGCTCCTCGACGCCTACTCGACGGCGCCCCTGTTCAAGGCGTACGACCGCTCCTCTCGCGAGTTCCGCCGTCGCTCGGCCGACGCGACCCTCATCCTCGGCACGTCGAGCGACGTCCAGCCGCACGACCCGACCTTCGTCATCCGCCGCTCGCCCGTCCGACCCGGCGCGACCAACCGCGGCGCCGCCCTCCCGCAGACGATCGACGAGCTCGAGAAGGTGCAGCAGCGTCGTGCGGCTGCCGCACAGCACGCCGAGGACGTCGGCAGCGACGACGAGCAAGAAGTGCTCGAGGACTCGTCGCCGAACCCGGAGGCGGCCCGCGGCAAGAGCCAGCGCGACCTCATCGCGGCGCAGCGGGCCGCCCAACGCGCCAACCAGAGCGCGCTCCTGTCGGCTCGCGGCAACGACGGCCACGGGTTCGACATCACGGTCCCGCAGGAGGGCACGATCCGGTCGTCGCGCGCCGACGAGGGCGACGAGGTGCGCTACTCGTTCGTCCACCAGGACGGCACCGAGACCGACATCAGCGAGATCGTCGAGGACGAGTGGCACGGCGGCGCGACGCCGACCAGGGCCAGCTCGTCGCCGGCACCGCCACCGCCGGCGGCGTCGTCGTCGTCGTCGTCGATGCAGCGCCCGACGCAGGGCATGTCGCGCGGCGCCTCGGCCGCCACGACGACCGACGCCGAGTCGTTCGTCACGGCGACGGGCTCGCTCGCGCCCATGAGCGACGACGAGGACGACGACGAGCGCCGAGCGGTCGACGCCCTGCGGAGCACGAGCGTCGACGTCGAGCGAGCCGGCTCGCCTCGCGACCGCCTGCCTCGCTCTCTCGCCCTCAACGGCAGCGCCACCTCGGCCTCGTACCACGACGACCACCTGCGCAGCGCGCTCGGCCCTCGGCCGATGACGAGCCCCGTCATGGAGGGCCCGCTCCAGGAGCGGCTCGACCGGGTCCTCGCGCGCGTCAAGGAGGAGAAGGCGCGCCGGGCCGCGTCGCCGTCGGGCAGCTTTGGGTGGCGCCCGCGGTCGTACATCAGCAACGGCGGCAGCGCGACGGCGAGCGGGCGCACCTCGCCCGCCGCGAGCACCTCGGCCCGGTCGGCGTCGGCTCTGAGCGGGCGCCGGTCGCCGTTTGGCGACGTCCTGCGCGACTCGCCCTCGATCGACCAGCTCATGTCGTCGTCGTCGCTGCACAGCCCTCGCACGGGCGCGTCGGGCCCGGGCTCGGGCGTTGGCGCCGGGTCCGGCTCGGCGTCGTCGCCCCGACAGCGGGCCCGCGCCGGCAGCGGCAGCACGCCGTACGAGGGCCACGCCAAAAGGGCGTCGGTCATCTCGATGTCGTCGGCGGGCTCGACGGCGGCGACGACGGACCAGCTCTCGACCCCGCTCACGGCCGGCTCGTCGTCGCAGCACTTTACGCCCGCCTCGTCGGCCAACTCGAACCACCGCGCCCCGTCGCAGCCGTCGTACCGCGACGACTACGGGTACGAGACGCTCGCCGCCATCGTGAGCGCTGCGGCGGCCGCTCGTCCGGCGGTCGGTGGCGCGCGAGCATCGTCGACGAGGGACTCGATCGACGAGCGGCTGTTCGGGCGCGAGCTCGACGTCGACAACCTGCACCCAGAGGTGCGTCGGGCGTACGAGGTGCCCGCCAAGACGTTTGGCGACCTCGACGAGGTGCGCTCCCCTCTCTCTCTCTCTTCGTCGCCTTTCTCTCCCACAGGTTCAACTCACTGACTCGCTCTCTCTCGTGGACCCACAGCGCCTCGACGCCCTCATGCGCGAGCTCGTGTCCGTCTGAGCGCCCTCGACCCTCGCATTCCTTCACGACCCTCTCACGACTTGTTCCTCGACGACCCTCGACTCGACCTTTCCTCCTCGCGGTCTCTCTCCCTCTTTCTCTCGATACCCCCCTCCGTGCCGTCCCTCCTCCGGATCCCGCAACTCTCCTTGTCCACGACACACCCGTTCTCCCTCGACGCTGTGCAACGAAGCAGTCGTTGCCGCATTTGCGCCTCGCGAGAGGTCCGTCCGCTTCGGACTCGCTCGCTCGCACGGCCGGGCGCAGCTCGAGAGAGTACGTACTCGGCACGGCGAGAGCGGCGACGTCGAAGTTGCCTGAGAAGCTTCAAGCCAAGCTAGTTAGCAGAGCGAGAGAGCGAGCCACATCGGCGATTGGTCGAGGAGGGCAACTCGGCGAGGATGCGCGTGCACGCAGCTCGCCGCGGCTTCAGCTCGAGAGGGAGGAGGTGCGTCGCTCGAGGGCGCAGGGATGAGCAGTTGGGCAGGTCATGCAGTCGGCGCAGCAGCAAGCTGGCAGGTCGGGGAGAGACGCGGCTGCCGAGGCGCGGACGGTCGGAGGGCAGCTTCCTGACGGTCTCGGCGCACGCGAGACGGACGTGGGAGGCTGCGCTGGCTGTGCGGCTGCTATGCAGGGACGTCCTGATCTCAGCGTGGCCCTGCAGCAAGAGGGTCGCGCAGGGAGCGAGCGTAGCCGAGGTCGGCGACGAGCCGAATTCGAAGTTGGCTGTTGAGCTCTCGCTCTCGACACCCCAGCTGCCCGGCTCAGCTTGGCACCACACCGCCCTGTGTAGCTCCTCCACCGAGTACACCAGTCGCCCCGCCCGTGCGCCACCCGCTCGCTCGACCTTCCCCCACCTCCTCCCGCCGTTCCTCCGCCGGCCGACCTTCGCCCACCTCGCCCATCGGCCACCACGACCAAGCACGCCTAGCCGCCAGGTGGAGCCGCGCTCGTCGACATCGACCATGCCCTGGTGGCCCTTCTCGCTCGGCGGCGCCTCGATGGGCGACACGTCCTCGCCCGCCCTCTCGCCGCCCAAAAGCAACCCTTCCTCGGCCCCGACAGCAGCCCCGAGCTCGCCAACGACCACCGCCAAGCATGTTCAAGGCCCAGGAGGCGCGACCGACCCCGACGCGCCCGAGGGTGCCGAGGCGCAGACGGCGCTCGCGAGTTGGGCCGCCCTCCTCGAGCCGTTCAACGCAGGCGGCGGCGCCCTCCCCGAGAAGGCTCGCACCGACGTGCGCCAGAAGCTCGCGAGGCCCAACGCCCACCTGTGGGAGTACGTCCCCTTCTTCGCCAAACAAGGTGCGCACCCGCCTTTCCCCTTTTCACGCCCATCCCCCTCCCGCTCGCCGTCCCTGACCTCGTGACCGCACCCCGTCCTTTGTCGCCCGCGCACACAGGGACGTCCCTCACCAAGGCCTTCGTCCAGCACCACATCTACGGCCCGCCAAAACCGTCGTGGGGCGTCGAGCTCACCCTGTTCACGACGTTCCTGCGCGAGGTGTCGACCTACTCGCACCTGTCGTCCCTCGCCCGTCTACGGTGCGTCGCCCCTTCCTCCTCTCTCCCTCGTGCCTCGGTACTGACACGCAGCGTCCCTCTACAGGTCCGCCCTCGAGCTCAGCTCGCTCCTGCCCACGCCCAAGGACGGCATCGTCACGCCCATCTCGTTCAAGGTCAAGCGCCGCAACCTGCGCGGCCTCCTTGCCGACTCGGACGCGCAAGAGACGGGCAACCGCGAGATCGCCGGCGAGTGGGTCACCAACAAGCGCCTGTGGCGCCGCATGACGCGCGAGTGGACGCTCGACAAGCCGGCCGAGGCGGGCGCAGGTGCGAGCGCGGGCGCAGGAGGGGCGCAGAAGGGTACGGGCAGCGCAGGAGGAGGGAACAAGGACGGCCTCGTGTGCCTGTACCTGCACGGCGGCGCCTACTACATGTTTTCGGCCGAGACGCACCGGTACCTCACCATCTCGGTCTCGCGGTACTGCGACGCCCGGGTCTTTGGTGCGTCCCTCTCTCTCCGCCGTCCCTCTCGACATGAGCGACCTCGACTGACGTGCTCAAGCGTGCAGCCATCAACTACCGCCTCGCGCCCGAGACGCGCTTCCCGGGTCAGCTTCACGACGCCGTCTCGGCCTACATGCGCCTCACCGTCGACCTCAAGATCCCTCCAGAAAATATCGTGCGTCCCCATCTCTCTCTCGTGCGTGTCTGTGAGCCCGACCCTGACGATTTGCGCCGCCTGCAGATCATTGCCGGTGACAGCGCGGGAGGAGGACTTGCGCTCGCGACGCTCATGTACCTGCGCGACGAGGGCTACCCTCTACCGTCGGGCGGTGTCCTCATGAGCCCGTGGGTCGACCTCACCATGTCGTGCGAGAGCTGGACGACCAATCGGGTGCGTCCTCGTCCTCTCTCTCTCCCTCTCTCGACGGACCGTTCACTGACCCTGCTCCCCTTGCTCAACAGCCCTACGACTACCTGCCGACGCCGAACGACGAGGACGACCACATGCACCCGGTCAAGTGCCTCCTCGGCGACCAGATCGACAAGTACTTGACGCACCCGTACGTCTCGCCGCTGTTCGGCAAGTTCGAGGGCCTGCCGCCGCTCCTCATCCAGGCCGGCGACGCCGAGGTCCTGCGCGACGAGATCACGCTCCTGGCGCACAAGGCGGCGATCGCGGGCGTCAAGGTCGAGCACGAGATCTTCGAGGTGCGCCCGCTCGGTCCTCTTCCCGATCGACGACGAGCCCGGCCTGACTTTCGCCTCTTACCGCCGCAGGACTGCGTGCACGTCTTCCAAGCCTTCCTGTTCCTCGAGGCGAGCCGCAAAGCGTTCCAGTCGCAGCGCTCCTTCGTCAAGCACACTCTGCCGCGGCTCAAGCGCAAAGCGGCCGAGCGCGCCGCCGCCGCCTCGTCCACCTCGGCCTCCTCAGCACCCGGCTCGGCGTCGACCGCCGCAGCGACGTCGAACGCGCCGTCGCCAGACGAGCGCGACGAGTCGAGCGCGACGGGCGGCTCGGCGTCGTCGGGCTTCGACTTTGCCGAGGTCGACCGCTCGATCGCGGCCGACGCGCACGAGGTCGACCAGCAGGGCAACGCCGACAAGAAGAGCCTGCGGTCGCCGCCGAGCGCCGGTGGGCTGGACCTGCCGAGCGGGAGCAGCGAGGAGGACGATGTCGATCGGCTCGACGACGAGATGGACGAGGACGACGACGACGCGCTCGGCGTGACGGACGTCGATATGGCGACCGACTCGAGCGATGCGGCGGCGTCGCCTGTCCTGAGGGGCAAGCGTCGCGCCGTCCACTCGCCCGCCGACGAGCGCGCTACCGCCGACGCCCTCGTCAACGTCCAAGCGCCCTCGCCCGACCCGAGCAGCAGCACACTCTTCGCCGCACCCTCGACATCCACCTCATCATCTTCGAACTCGGCTACCGCAACCCGCACGAGCACGAGCGCGGGCGCGAGCGAAGGCTCGAGCCCGACAGCGCTCGCCTCGCCAAGCCTCGTGGACGCGCACCCGAGCGTGCGCCCGATCCTGCGCGCGTACGCCTCGGCGCGCGACCTGTCGATGTCGACCCTGCGCAAGACGACTCGCTGTCGTCGCCCTCGGCCGCTGGGCGCCGCCTGTCGCTCGCGCCGGCCCCCTCGTCCTCGGTCACGGCCTCGGCCGCAACGCCGACGCCCTCGTCGTCGCCGCGCAAGCGCCGCTCGGCGACCGTCACGTCGCCGCGGTCGCCTGCGACCGCGACGCCGGGCGGCGGCGGCGGCCTGAGCGCGCCGACGACGCCGCTCGCGCTCAGTCCGCGGCCGCTCGACCAGCGGCGCGAGCTGCACGCGCGCAGCAGCAGCCACCCGGACGTGGCCGAGCTGCTGCGGAGCTACATGGACGAGCTCGAGGCGGGCGAGGCGCCGAGGGCAAAGACGAGGGTGTGGACGGCGGCGGCGGCTGGGGGCAGGAGCTCGAGGGCCGCGAGCGAGGTCGACGAGGTCGAGTGAGCGGCGGCGAGCCTTTCTTCCTGCGGGTTCCTATTCTCTCTCTCTGTCACACTGTCGCTCTCCTCGCCATCGTCGTTATCTCTCCCCCTCGCACTCAACCACCTCTTGTTGTTCTCCTTCCTCCTCGACCTTGTTCCTCTTCTGCCACCTCGCACCTTGTCCTCGTCCTCTCATCATCATCTCTCTCTCTCTCGAAAGCGAGTCGCGAATAGAGAGACGTCTCGATGCATCGATATTAATTTTATTGTTCAAACATGAGAGCTTAGTACGTGAAACATGAGAGCTTAGTACGTTAGCCATGAGAGCTTACCTTGTTGCGGCGCTTCTCGGCGCGGCGCCTGCGCTCGACACCGTTGCCCCGCCGCGGGCCGACCACCTTGGGGAGCACGACGCGGAACGCGCCTGGGCCCGCTGCTGCCGCCGCTGCGCTCGCTCCGCCCTTTCCCCTCGACCCTGCCCCTGCTCCAGCTCCAGCTCCGGCCCCGGCCCCTGCTGCCGGCGCAGCGGCCGCCCTCGCCCTCGCCTCGAGCGCCTTGACCCTCCTCGCCGCCTCAGCCTCGATCGTCTCGCTGCTCGCCATCCACGGCTCGCCCTCGCCCTCGCTGCCTTTGCGCGCGCGCAGCTTTGCCTGCCGCGTGAGCTGGCGCACGACGCGCGCACGGGCGAGGTCGGCGCGCTTGCGCTTTGGGCGCAGGGCCGAGGCGAACTCGGTGCGGAGGAGCGACGAGTAGCGCTCGAGGAAGGTGTCGAGGTTGGCGGGGAGGACCTGTGGGCGCGCGCATGGGGGAGGGGATGTGAGCTGTGCGGGCAAGGGGGGAGAGGGACAGGGACGCACGACGGTCGAGAGCTTGGTCTTGGCGTCCTTGTTGGACTTGCCGTCGGTCGCGCGCAGGAGCAGAGGGTACTCGCGGTCGGCGTCGTCTGGTCGGGCGTCCATGTCGACGTCGTCACCAGCTGCTGGTGCAGCCGCTGTGGAGGTGCTCGCCTCGGGCTCATAGGTCACTGCAGGAGCGGGCGGGGGAGGGGGGAGGAGAGGGGGGAAGCTGCTGAGCAACTCGACCCGGCACGCGATTTGCGAGGCAGAGAGAGAGGGAGGGACGGACTGCGCTTCTGGACGAGGAAGACAGAGCCCTTGTCCTTGCGCGAGGCAAACAGCTGCTCGAGGCGGGTGAGGAACTGCGAGGCGGGGCGGGGAGGGTCGTGTGCGATGGAGTGGGCGGGGCGGGTCAGCGCTGTGGTGCAGGTGGGCGAGAGACTCTCGACGTGGTGCTCACCTCGTCGTTGCTGAGATGCGCCATGGCGGTCGGGGCGAACTGAGCGAGGTCAGAGCCGAGTCGTCGCTCTCCTCCTCCTGGACCTCGTCCTCCTCCTCCTCTTCGCCGCACTCAGGCCTCGCTCTCTCTTCTCTCGCTAAGCTCACGTGCACGAACACCACAGCATGTGTACAATCCTTGTTCCTTGCACGCTCGCAAGTCTCCTGCTCGAACACAACATCTACCTCCTCCTCACGCGGACGCGACCGAGTGGTGCTCGAGCGCCGCCTTGAGCTTGTTCGGGTCGGCACCGACGACGGTCCCGACCTTCTCACCGTTCTTGAACAGGGCAAAGGTCGGCATGGCCTTGATGCCCACCTCGCCGGCCACCTCCTGCGGACCGTCGTCGAGTGCTCGGCGTCAGTTACTGGGGCGCTCGTCCGCCCGCGAGAGAGAGAGGGACAGGGACTCGCCTCCTGGGCGTCGACGTCGCACTTGAAGAAGCCAATGTTCTCGAACTTGGGCTCGAGCTTCTCAAACACGGGGCCGATGACCTTGCTGTCGACGAGGGGAGGAGCAAGGAGTCAGCGAGGCTCGCTTGGCGCGCACGCCGCTCGACCACAAAGAGGGAAAGAGGACGACGAGAGACGCACCAGGGACCGCACCTGCGAGTCGGGAGGCGAGAGGGAGGACGAATATGTCAGCGAGGCGAGGCTGGGAGGAACGAGGAGCGAGGACGGACCAGGTGGCCCAGAAGTCGATGATGACGAGCTTGTCCGTGCTGGTGGCAGCCTTGAAGGCGTCGTACGAGTCGATAGTGGCAACCATGGTGTCGTGTGTAGAGAGCTGGAGGAGCCGGGCGATGAGGTGAGGCGAGGGGAGACGAGGGGAGGGGGAGCGCAGTGGGGGTGACGGGTGAAGGGCGCGGTCAGTCGAGGGTGCTGTGCGAGTGCAGGAGACAAGGGAGAGCTGCTCACAGGTGCTTGGAGTGGTGTGCGAGAGCGGGTCTGCTTACGAGAGGGGGAGCGGCACGTCCGGCCAACCGACGCCGTCATCTCAGCAGCTCGCGTGCGCACCGGCCTCTCGAACTTGCCACGGCGCTCTCTCTCTCTCTCGGCTGACACAGCGCAACGACAGCCACCGACGCTCGAACGCTTCAAACGAGGAGAACCGTCCCTCGTTGCACTCGAACCTCCTCCTCAGCACACCACGCACTCGGGCACCTTGGGCACGCCGTCAGCACCGAGCTCCATCCCTGCATGTCGTGCGAGAGGGAGCGAGTGAGCGATGCTCGAGGAGGGACGGAAGGGTAGGAGGAGAGAGTGAGAGTCTGGCGCACCTGGCGGCATCTCGCCCATGATCTCGCTCGGCGGCGCACCGCACTCGTTCATCTGCGGAGGAGGACCCGCACATTCATCAGCCCAGGTTGCGCGACGTAGCGCACGACGCCCAGATGCCGAGAGAGAGAGAGAGAGAGAGAACGAGCGCGCACGCACCTTGGCGACCAAGTCGACGACGGCGTCGAGCCGCTGCTGGCGCTCCTCCTCCTCCTTGTCCGTCAGGGGCGGCTCCTTGTCGGCGCCGGGCTCCTCGAACTTGGCGACGATCTGCCCGACAATCTGCTGCTGCTTCTCGAACCGCTCGACGTCGGCCGGCGAGAGGGACGCGCGGTGGGCCGACAGGTAGGCCGGGTACTGCGAGAGGCGAGGTGTGCGTCAGGCCCGTGCTGCATGCAGAAGCCGGAGCCTTCTCGGCGAGACACGCCGCAGAGGTCGAGCGCGAGAGGCAGAGGACGACCGACGCACCTTGTCCGACAGCTCCTTGAGCGGCTCGTACAGCATCTCGCGCCCCATGAGCTGCTTCATCATCTCGTCGAGCATGTCTTGGAGCCCTTCCTCCGAGTCGAGCGCGCCGCCGAGGTCGGGCATGCCCGCCATCTGCGCCAGCATGCCCGCCATGCCGCCGGCTCCCGCTCCTCCCGCCGCAGCGCCCGCCGCCGTCCGCGACGCGTTGGCCGTCGACGACGAGTCGCGCAGCTTGGACATGGACGCCGCGATGGCGTCCTGGAAGTTGGCCGGCGGCGCGGCGGGCCCTGCGCTCGCGCCGGAAGAGGACGACGGCCCGGCGGCAGGCGCCTTGGCCTTGCCCTTGGCCGCCTCGCCGAGTCCTGCGCCGCCGCCCGCCATGCCGAGCGCCTTCATGAGCTGCTCGAGCTCGCCCGCGTCGGCTCCACCAAGCCCGCCCTCGCCACCTGCTCCTCCCGCCGCGCCACCACCGCCGCCGCCGCCCAGCTCGCCGCGCATGAGCTCGTCCATGACCCTGCGGAACTCGCCCTCGTCGAGCTCGCCGCCGTCCTCGTCGCCTCCTGCGAGGCCGCTCGCGCCGGGCGCACCCCCGCCGGCGGCGCCCGGGTTGAGGCCGGCAAAGAGGGCGGCCATGCCCTGCTCGAGGTCCTTGGCGAGCTGCGGGTCGAGCGGCTCGTCGTCCGGGTCGGCGAGGGCGTCGTCGTCCGGGTCGGGAAAGTCGTCGGTCGCGGCGGCGGGAGCTGCAGAGGAGGTCGAGGGAGCCCGGGCGGTGGTTGCCGGGGGTGCCGGGGCGGACGCCGACGAGGTCGAGGCGGCGGCGGCGGCAGGGGCGGGGGACGAGAAGGCGTCGAGGACGTCGTCGAGGTCGTCGAGGCTGTCGGTGCGGGGCTCGCGTCAGTGCTGCTGTACAGGTTGGCGACGGCGAGACGAGGTGGGGGGGGCGAGGTGAAGTGAGGGTGGGGGGGAGACGGACGAGGAGGAAGGAGGGAGCGAGGGAGGGGACGTACTCGTCGTCGTGGACAGTCGGAGGAGCCATGGCTGAGAGCGGAGCCAGCTGGGTGCGAGAGCGAGTGCAGAGGGTGCGAGAGAGGGACGCCGGTGCGAGGGCGATTCGGTGGGCTCGAATACAAAACGAGGAGCGATTACCAGCTGAAGCCCTATTGCGGCCCGTATTGGCCCAGCTCGCAGCGAGGCCTCGCACCGCCTCGACTACAAACCACGCTCTCGCTGCCGCCTGAGCGCACCTGCAGCAGCTACTACCGACTCCCGACTCGGCAGCGCGACCCTCGCCAGCCCCACGCCGCGCAACCACCTCTCGCCCTCGTCCGCCTCACCTCACGAGCCTCCCCTCTCGACCTCGTCGACCACGGCAGCCAGTGAGCCCCTGTTCCTCCGATGTCAGTGGCAGGGTGAGTTCAGCAGGTAGCGGGGTCAGCTGCGCACGTTCGAGCGGGGCGCAGACGCGGGCCGGGCTCGAGCTGATGAGGAGGACGGCTCGGCGGTCGTCGGCGCAGTACGGGAGCGAGGAGTGGGCAGGGCACACGCGCAATGAGCTCGAGGAGCACCACAGCTGACACTCTACACGCGCGCCTGCAGTGGCCGACGACCTCTCGCTCTCGTCGTCCGCCTCGTACGCCAACTCGTGGATCTCGTGAGTCCGCACCTCTCCGAGTACGGCCCTGCGCGTTGCACTTGGCGCCACAGGCGCAGAGTGACGCGCTACGCCGCTTGCTCGAGAGTGTGGAGCCACCACTGACAAGCCCCTTTCGCACGCAGCTGGTTCCTCGCGTCCAAGGGCAACGAGTACTTCTGCGAGGTCGACGAGGAGTACATCCTCGACCGCTTCAACTTGACGGGCCTCAACGCCGAGGTGCAGGGCTACTCGGCCGCCCTTGACCTCATCACCGACACGGCCGGTCCGTCCGCTCTTTCCCTGCTCCTCTCGTCGCGCAAGCTGACGTTTTGGCTCTCCCCACAGCGGACGAGGACCTCAACGACGAGCAGCGGGAACACCTCGAGTCGTCGGCGCGGCACCTGTACGGCCTCATCCACGCCCGCTTCATCATCACCTCGCGCGGCCTGTCCAAGATGGTGCGTCCCCTCTCTCCTCTCCTCCTCCTTCGCCGGGTAGCTCACCCGCCTCGCCCTCTCGCAGATCGAGAAGTACAAGAAGGGCGACTTTGGGCGGTGCCCGCGCGTCCTGTGCTACGGCCAGCCGCTCCTCCCGCTCGGCCTGTCGGACCTGCCGTACCAGAAGGCCGTCAAGCTCTACTGCCCGCGGTGCGAGGACCTGTACAGCCCGAAATCGTCTCGCCACGGCTCGATCGACGGCGCCTACTTTGGGTCGACGTTCGCCCACATGCTCTTCATGGTCTATCCGGGCATGATCCCGAGCAAGAGCGTGCCCGGGGCGGGGCAGGGCGCCGGCGGCCAGGCGGGCCTCGGTGGAGGTGGGCTCGGCGCGCAGGCGGCGAGCAAGGTCGAGAGGGTCCGACCGAGGATCTTTGGGTTCCAGGTGCACGAGCACGCAAAGCTCCTCAGGTGGCAGGAGAAGGTGCGCGACCGGTGCGTCGTCGAGCTTTTCTCTCTATCGTCTCGCGATGGCTCTCCCGGGCACCAACACCTGACGCAGACCTCGTCCTTCTCGCGCGCAGGCAAATCACACGCCTCGAGGACATCGAGCGCGAGGGCCAGCTCGAGTAGACGCCCCGTTCCCTTCCTCAGCCCTCGTCGCTCCCACCCGCATACCCTCGTTCGTGACCCTGGCCCACCCCCCTTTGGCGTCTGTGCGCGCTCTCCTCCTCTCGGTGTAACGCTAGTGTCCTCTCGTCGAGTGCGCGATCGTCGACCGTATGGAGGAGGAGCGCGAGGAGAGAGAGAGAGAGAGAGGGAGCGAGCGAGGTAAAGCGGTGCGAGGAGAGCAGCGGCAGCCTTCGAGACATGTCCAGCAGTGCCGCACAGCGCAGGACGTTGCAGGGAGCGTTGGCGTCAGCGACAGGGAGGTCAGCGAGAGGGAGCTCGAGGTCCCGGGCTCTCGCTCAACACACGCGCCCTCGCCGACCAGCTCGCCGCCAGGGTCAGCTACGAGTGGCTGCAGAGCCGCACAGCAGTCCTTGAGGCCACACAGAGCCGCGACAGGTGCGTCCCGCTGCCTGGCTCGCCTCCCCCTTGTCCTCATCACCGCGAGCACTTCGCTGATCCTCCTCTCCACAGCCAGCTACGCCGTGCGCCACCTGAGCAGCACTCGAAACCCGCCGTTGGCTCCCCCCCGCCTCGCTCGCCCTTCTCGACCGCATCACCGCACGCGCCGCCCCGTCGTGTCGGCCTCCCCTCGCGCTCGCATCCTCGTCTCGACCCTCCCCCGACCCCTCAGCGCCACCTGCCGCCCTCCAGTTCGACCGCCACCTGTCCTACCATGACCACGTCGCGCGCGCGTCGCACCCCGTCCGTCGAGATCGAGGTGCGCCGCACCACCACCACGGCGTCCGCCAACAGCCCCGCAGGCGCCTCGACTTCGACCCCACGCCACCGCCGCGGCAGGAGCACCACCGCACCGCTCGCCGTCGTCGACGAGGGCGACGCCGAGCCCGCACCGCCTCCCGCCGCCACCGCCGGCGAGCGGTACGCGCGCTCGCTCGCGAGCCGCAAGAAGGACGCCGTCGGGCACGCCTACCCGCCACCGCCGCCAGTCGCGCCCGCGCCCGTCTACTCGTCGGGCTTTCAGAACACGAGCGTCAACATCGCCAACGCGTTCAAGGCGGCGACGAGCGGGCAGGGCGGCGTGCGCGTCGGCGGCAGGAGGGAGGACTTTGCGGCGCCAGCGGGCCGGCGCGACGACAAGAACGAGGGCGAGGACGAGGGAGACAGCGAGGAGGAGGAGAACATCATCAAGGTGGCGGCCAAGCAGGCTGCCGCACCGACGAGTGCGGGCAAGAAGCGCAAGGTGCGCCTTGCTGTTCTCGCCTCGTTCTCCTTGTCCAACCCGCTCACCTGGGCCCTCCCCTCGCTCGCAGAAGAACGTCGTCAAGGACCCGTCGTACAAGTCGCAGGCCGGCCAATCGTCAAGCAGCGAGGAGTCGGAGCTCGATGCCCAGCGCGGCGTCCAGAAGCGCCCAAAGGTCGCCTCGGACGACGAGGGTGCGTCCCTCGCCCACCTTTTCTCTCGACGACCATCTGCTCACGTTCCCTCTTGCAGGCACCGCCGCGTCAACCAGTCGCTCCTACCGGCGACGCTCGAGCAAGCCCGTCGACCCGCCCTATCGTCCTGATCCTGCATCGGCCGCCTCGTCCGACGAGTACACGCCCCGCGGTCGCCACAAGAGCAAGGGCAAAGGGCGCACGAGCCTCGGCCCGGGCGCGGCGACTCACGCGCTCGCGCGCGGCGTCCAGGAGGCCGAGATCTGGTACGGCAAGAAGCCCAAGGGCCGCAGGGGCGGGAGGCGGAGCGGAGAAGGCGGCGAGAGCGAGGAGGACGATGACGAGGAGGAGGACGAGTCCGAGCAGGACGAGCACGGCGACGAGCGGGACCTCGGCGGTATGGACCCGCACGAGCACGACCCGGCGGGCGACCGCGACGTCTCGCACGACCGCGACGGCGACGGCTCGGCGACACCTCCCGCGGTGTCCTACTACCTCCGCGTCGGCTCGCCCTCGCCGACGCACTCGAGCGAGGCGAGCCGGCGGCAGCAGCCCGGCCCGCCGTCCAACCTCGGCCGCTCGCCCTCGCCCTTTCACTCGAACGTCGGCGCCTCGACCTCTGGCGCCGTCGATCCCGCGTTCGCCGCCTTTGACCGCTCGCTCGACGCCGACTCGAGCGGGCCCGGCGACCACCCCGGCGACGGCCACAGCCTGTCGGCGTCGTTCGACGACTCGGTCCTGCGCGGCTCGTCGTACGACTTTTGCGAGGAGGAGCGCATCGTGCAGGCGCTCGAGGCGCAGAAGCAGCGCCAGCTCGAGGCGCAGCAGGCGCGCGCCCGTCAGCTCCAGCAGCAGCAGCAGCGCCAAGGCGGGCCGCCGCCGACGCCGGGCGGCATGGCGACGCCGAGGCCGAGCACGGGCGCGTACCCGCTCACGCCGCAGGCGGCGGGCGCGAGCCCCGTCAGCGCCATGCGCAAGCGGCGCCTGCCCGGCCCGCCGTCGATGCTCGGCGCGGGCACGACGTTCGGCGCGCAGGACGAGGGCGAGGAGGAGGACGGCGCGGCGGGCGGGACCGCGAGCGAGGGCAAGTGGGGCCGCAGGTGCGGCGATGCGCTGCGGCCCTTGGTGCGCGTGGTCGAGCGCGCGAGGCGCAAGGCGCAGGACCCGCTCCTCGACTGGGCCAAGATCCGCAGGGCGCTCGGTGCGCTCTTGCTCGCCTCGGCGCTCATCGTCGCTGTCTGGTGCGTCCCTCGCTCTCTCCTCGTTCACGGGCCTCACTGACTCGGCCATCATGCTCGCGCGCAGGCGGTACGACCTTCTCGACAAGCTCGCGCCGACCTCGACCTCGTCGCCGCCGCCACCGCCCTTTATCGCGCCCGACGTCCCGCCCGACTCGCTCGAGGGCCTCATCGCCCGCCTTTCCGAGCTCGAGTCGGTCATGGGCCGTCTTTCGTCGTCGTCCGAATCGGACCGCCAGCGCTCGTCGCACGACCGCAGCGCCATCTCGCGCCTCGCGTCGCAGCTCGACACGCTTGAGACGAGCGTCTCGGTCGAGCAGTCGCGCATCACGACGGCGCTTGAAGGCGTCGAGCGCGACAGCGTGCAGCATGCCGCCGAGGCGAGCCGGGCGGTCCTCGGCGTCAAGGACGAGCTCGAGGGCCTGCAGGGCCGGCTCAAGGCGCTCGCCGTCGCGCAGCAGGCCGACGCGCGCGAGATTGTGCGCCTCGAGGGCACCGTGTCGACCGTGTCGGACGACGTCGACTCGGTCAAGCGCCACGTCACCCAGGTCGCCAAGGACGTCGAGGCGGCGACTCGGTCGGAGCGCATCACGCAGCTCGCGCTCGACGCCATCGCGCAGAAGCTCCCGGGCAAGATCGCCGTCATGATGGACAAGAGCGGCCGGCTCGAGATCGACCCGGCCTTCTGGCGCGTCCTCAAGGACGCGTTCGTCGACAAGAAGGCCGTCGAGCGCACGGTCGACGCCAAGCTCGCCGCCATCGACGGCACCAAGCGTGGCGGCCTGTTCGGCGGCTCGTCGTCGAAGGAGGCCAAGCCGCCGGCGCCCGTCGTCGCCGCGCCGCCGGCGCCCGTCGTCGCCGCGCCGCCGTCGTGGGCCGACTTCCTCTCGGCCAACGAGGGCGCGCTCCGGGCGTTCGTCGCGAACGACCTCACCTCGCGCGTCGGCTCGTCGGACGCCTTCCTCTCGAAGCAGCAGTTCCTCGACCTCTTGCGCCGCGAGATCAAGACGCTCAAGCGCGACTTTGAGAACAAGGCGCACGACAACTTCGAGCAGATGGGCCGCGAGCTCCTCAACAAGGTCGCCAAGCAGGACGACATGCGCCGCAAGGAGCAACAGCGGGCTCAGCCTGTCGTCGGCGCGGGCACGTCATCGTCGTCGTCGTCGTCGGGCGCGCCCGTCACGATCAAGTCGAGCGACGGCCAGAACGTGACGGCCGTCATCTCGTCGCTGGTCGACTCGGCCATCCTGCGCTACTCCAAGGACGTCCTGGCCCGCCCCGATTACGCCCTGTTCACCTCGGGCGGCCGCGTCATCCGCTCCCTCACGTCGCCGTCGTACGACCCGCACCCGTCGTCCGCCGCGCGCTCGGCCCTCGCCTGGCTCACGGGCACCAAGGCGCCGCGCGGTCGCCCGCCCGTCACGGCACTCCACTCGGACAACTCGCCCGGGTCGTGCTGGCCCTTTGCCGGGCAGCAGGGTCAGCTCGGCATCCAGCTGAGCCGTCGCGTCGTCCCGACCGACGTCACGCTCGAGCACATCTCGACCGACGTCGCCCTCGACGGCGACGTGTCGTCGGCGCCCAAGGACTTTGAGGTGTGGGGCATCGTCGAGGGCACCGACAACGTCGCCAAGGTCGGCCAGTACCGCGCCGAGCAGCTTGCCGCCAAGCGCGCCGCTCGCGACGCCGCCCTCGAGGCTGGCTCGCCGCTCGACCCGCTCGCCGCCGAGCTCGACCTTAACCCGGCGTCCCTCCCGCCGAGCGCCAACCACGTCCTCCTCGCCGTCGGCGCGTACGACCCGGCGCTCCCCTCGCCGGTCCAGACCTTCCCGGTCACGCCCGCCGCCCGCCACCTCGCCATTCCCGTCCAGGTCGTCGTCGTCAAGGTGCTCAGCAACCACGGCGAGGAGGCCTACACGTGCTTGTACCGCGTCCGTGTCAGCGGGACGACCGAGGCGCAGCTCGACGGCGTCGATTCGACTTAGACCTCTGTCTCTCAAGCGGTCGCCCTTCTCTCTCATTCCTCTCCTCCTTCGATACCCTCTCTCGCTCTCACTCCTTTCCTTATCCCCTTATGCTGTCACATACTCGGTCGTTACCCCCTCCCTCGCCCTGTCTACAAAGGTCCCTCTCTCTTCCTCGCAGTGCAACTCTCTCCGCCCGCTTTGCTTTCTCCTTTCCTCGCCCTCTCTCGAGAGCCATGAGAGCTCGCCGATCGCCCTGTTTAGCGGCGCGAGCCACGGCGGAGCGCTTTGTCCTGCGAGCGACGACGAGGAAAGTCAAGAGGTGCTAGCGCAAAGAGAGGGAGTAAATTCGACGCACAAACGACCTGCGACGGTGCCTCTGCACGAGGGAACGAGAGAAAGGTGAGCCTGCGACGAGCGTGACACCGGACAGGACAGAAAGAGAGAGAAAGAGGTTGGCGGCGCACCTTGCTCTGCTCGTTGACGGGGCTCGAGATCCGGCCGAACGCCGGCTCGTTGTCGTGCCCGGTCGTCGTGGGCGATTTGGGACCGTCGCGCGGGTGAGGCACGAACGCGTCCTTCTTGAGCGGCGGCGGGCGCGTCTTGCGGCTCGTCGAGGCCGGCGCGACGGCGGCGGACGACGACGAGCGCCCGGGCGCCGTGAAGGAGCGGCGGACGGGCGCCATGGTGAGCGCATCGCCGTCGTCGTCGTCGTCGGACGACGACTCGCCGCTGCTGTGCGAGCGAGACGCACGTGGCGGCTCGTGCACGCCGCCGTGCGCCCACGTCTTCGAGCGCCCGAGCGGCGGCCTCGCGTTCATCGTGAGGCCCTCGTCGCCGCTCGAGGACGAGTCGTCGTCCGAGTCCGAGTCGGGGCTCGAGTCGGCCGGCGCCTTGCCCGTGTCCGTCTCGCTGTGCGAGCCGTCCTCGTCGCTCAGGTTGACGAACGCCTTGCGGTGAGCGCGCGAGTGGTCGGCGCTTGAGCGGGTCGGCGACGTCGCGAGTTGACGCTCGAGCCCGAGAGCTCTGTGGGCACGCTCGGCGAGGTGGAGCGAGCTGCTCGAGCTGTAAAACAAGGAAAGCGAGTCAGTGCACGTTTCCGCTGCAAGACGAGCGGAGGAAAGGGCGCGTACCGAGGGACACGGCGTTTTTTGAGCATGTGACGGCGCAGGGAGTTCGGGTCGGGCACGAACATGTTTTGCGGCGACCACTCGCGGCCTTGACCGGGAAGATAGATGGCGGGAACCGTGCGCGGGGGCGACGGCTCGTCGAGGTTGATGCCGTACGCGCCCGTCGACGTCGTGCGCTTGAGCAAGCCTTGAGAGTCGTTGCGCGACATGTTGAACGAGAAGAAGCCCAAGCAAAGAGTGCAGAGCGAGGAGAGAGAAGAGGAAGAGCGTTTGCCAGCGAGGAGGTCGAGAGGGCTTTTGCACACCGACGCGGACTCCGCGCCTCGCCATCGCAAGAGGCTGGACTCGCCGTCTGCTGGGCTGAGACCGGAAGCGGGCGGACCGGAGAAGCAGAAAAACAGTCCGCCGGACAGGAGGCCGCCGAGCGACGCGACTGCGGGCTTAAGCTCTCGGCGGACGTCGACGACAGCAGAGCTGACGGCAGTAGGATTGCGAGGTGGTGCTACACTTGTGGCACAGGACAGATGGACAGACTAGGGGGCGACTCGACGGCGGAGAGACGGACAAAAGGGAGGGAGGGAGGAAAAGGAGGGTGCGAGGGCCGAAACGACCTCAGACGTCGTCCGACATGATCCTGGGAGCGACAAGATGGTCAGTGCGAGTCGCTGTAATACGCAGAGAGCGCGAGAGACGCACTTGATGAACTCCTGCTCCGAGATCTCGCCGTCCATGTCGAGGTCGAACTCTTCGATCATGGCTTGCCTGCGCGCTCACACACACAGTCAGTACCGCTCGCCGGCCTCGAACACGTCCAGTGGGAAGAAAGGAGGACGCACAGCTCTTCGTCTGCGAGATTCTCGCCGAGTTCTCGCGCGACCTTCTTGAGGTTGCGGAACGAGATCTTGCCCGTCCCCTCCTCGTCGAACAGCTTGAACGCCCGGCGGATCTCGTCGAGCGGGTCTCGAGCGAGTATAAGCTGCTCGGCTGTTGTCGAGAACGAGGACCGGAACGCGGCGGGTGCAGGCGAGGGACGGAAGGCGGAGGTGGGGGGGAAAGGTCAGCTCTCGTCGTCGCGGATGCAGGGGCAGAAGGAGAGCGATGGCAGGACGCACCGATGCTCATGAAGCCGTCGAGCCCGATCGTCAAGCCGCCGCCCTGGCCGTCGTCGTGGTTGCGGTCGCGCATGAGCTTGAGGACCTCGGCCTTCTTGAGGTCGAACCCGAGCGCGCGCAGGCCGACCTTGAACTCGTGGTAGTCGAGCTTCTGGTCCTTGTCGAGGTCGAACAGCTCGAACGCCTCGCGCACCTCCTGCTGCTGGTCGGGCGAGAGTTGAGACGGGCCGGAGGAGGGTGGTGCTCGCGCCGACGACGACGACGCGTGGTGCCGGGACGACGCGTAGGGCGAGGGCTTCTTGGCTGAAGAGCCGGTGCCGAACAGGCCAGACATGCTCGAGAGCTGGCGAGGCAGCGAGAGTGGTCGGGCGAGGACAGACGCGATGAGGACGCGGCTCGTCTCGGTTTCAAGTCGACAGTCGCTCACTTCTCGCTCAAGCCATGCACGGAACTGCCAGAGCTCTCTCTCAAGTACTCAGACACGTCGAGGGGCACATATCACATCGCGGCGACGAGTGCGCTACGGCCTCCATTTCGCGAGCGGGCTGTCCTGGAACGGCACTGCGACGACGACGACGACGGTCAGTACGCGTGCCAAACAGGGAGACACAGAGAGAGAGAGGGACGCACCGCTTTCGAGCAGCTTGCCGCCGTGCAGCGTCTCCATCTCGTCGCCCGCGCCGTGCAGCCGGAACCCGCTCCTCCTCGCCTCCTCGTCGAAGCTGTCCTCCTCCTCCTCCTCGCCGACATCGGCCCCTTGCGGCGCGTACGTCGACCGACGACTCGGGCCCGCAGCGCCGCCGCCTGCAGCAGACGCGCCGCCTCGACCGGCGGGCATGCCGAACAGCGTGTCCTCGGGCCCGTCCTGCCCGGGGAGGCGCAGCGCGCGCCCGCCCGCCGCACCGAGCTCGTCCTCGTCGCGCGAGTAGCCCTCGTCAAAGCCCTCGGTGTAGGTCGGCTCGGCAGGGCGATGGTGCAGGTGCAGGTGGTCGTCGGCCTCGCCCGTGAACGACTCGTCGGTGCCGCCGGTGCCCGAGCCGAACCGCGCCGCGCCGTCGTGGTCGTCGTCGTCGACAATGCCGGCGTACTGGTCGGCGCCGCCGTGGTTGCCCGCGAGGAGCGCGTCGATGTTGGCCGTCGTGCCGCCGCCAAAGTCGGCGAGCGGCGCATCGTCGCCGTGCGCGCCCGACAGCGACAGCGACGCACCCGACGCGTCGTACGGCGCGTGATGCGAGAACGGGATCGGCTGCGTCATGAAGCTCGGCTGCGACGGCATCGAGGCGTAGCTCTCGTCGTTCGCTGCGCCGCTCGCCGCCGCCGCAGCCTCGTCGCCGAGCAGGGTGCGGTCGGCCCGCCTCGCCGTCGCCTTCTCGCTCGGGCTGCCCGGCCCAGCACCCGCACCGTGCGCAGACGTAGACGCGTAGTAGTTGTACGACATGGTGCGGGCCGGGTTGCGCAGCGCGCTCGGGAGCTCGAGCGCGGGCGAGTCGCCCAGGTCGCCGAGCGCGTCGTACACGTTCTGGACGGTGCGGCGCGCCGCCTCCTTGGCCGGCGTGCGGCTGAACGCGGCGTTGCGCTGCGGCGCCGGGGAAGTGCCGAAGCGGCGCAGGGTCGAGGTCGAGGCGTTGAGCGCGTCTCGGGATGACGAGGGGCCGGCGGCGGCAGCGCCGGCGGGCGACGAGATGAGGGCGGTACGAGCAGAGGCTGCAGTAGACGGTGGCGGGCCGTACAGCGAGTCGTCGCCGACCTGGAGCATGCTGGCGTGCCCGCGGCGCTTGATCGGGGACGGGAACGCGTCAAGCGTCGTCGTCGACAGGTTGGCGATGCCGTCCCAGTTGCTCGGCAGATCGTGCGGGTACTTGATCTTGCCGTGACCCGGCGTCGACTGGCCCGGACGAGACGCCGTCGCCGGGGTGCCGCCGAGGCCCTTGCGCAAGACCTTGTTCAGGAGGGCCGACTGGGGCGCAGGCGGAGGAGCGCGGCCGACGTCTTGTCGCGAGGTGGGCGAGCCGCGCAGGAAGGACGGCTCGGTGCTCTGCTTCGACATGTCGCCTGCGTCCGAGCGGCTCGTGTCGGCGCCGGCTCGTCCGCCTCGACTCGCGGCGCCCATGAGGCCGCCGTGGATCGTCTCGAACTGGGGCTCGGCAAAGTCGGGCGAGTCGGGAGGGAGGTCGCGCAGGCGCAGGCGCTGAACGTCGGGGAGGGGGCGCTGCGCAGAGTAGTCGGCGCCGCCGACGGCGGGAGGCGGACCCGGGTTGAACGGCGACATGCCCTCGCTCGACCAATGCGGCTCGACAGGGGCACCGCTCGACGCCGACTCCGAGAACGACTGCTGAGGAGCGCGAGGCGTGCCGCCGACCGAGGGGGCCGTGCCGTAGCTGACGTCGCCCTCGTCCGAGATGGTGCGGTCCGGGTGGATGGTCGCCTCGGACGGCTCGTCGGCGGCGACGCTCGGCTCTTGCTCGGCGTACGGCTCGTTGAGGCGGATGTTGGCGGCGGCCTCGAAGAAGGGACGCCAGAACTGCGGGCACAGAGGCGCAATCAGCTCGTGTCAACAAGGCGAGGGGGGGCGAGAGAGGGAGAGAGGTGAGGCGCACCTTGACCGACTGGTTGATGCGCTGCGTGTTCTCGCCGTGGACCTCGAAGCTGGCGAGGATGCGCTCGGTGACGATCTCGTTGCACCGGGCAAAGTTCTCCTCGACGCGCTGGAGGAGGAGGACGAGGTTCTGGTCGAGCTGGTCGGTCGCCGACTGGACCTCGGCGGGCGAGAGCTGCATCACCTCGTCGTGCGAGAGCATGACGGGGTTGACGGCATCGTAGAAGAGCCGGTTCGGGTCGCGTGGCGGTGGCATCGGGTGGGTTGAAGGAGGTCGAGGCGATGAGGTTGCAGAGCGCGGTGGGGACGGCGAGGAGGGGTGCGGCGACTGGCACAGGCGCGTGTGAGAAGGTGCTGTAGGACACTGGTGGCTGGCGAGGCGTTCGGGGGCAGCGCTCGTCGAGCAGAGGGTTGTCGTCGAGGCCAAGTCGCGTCTGCCGGCGCGTCGAGCCTCGAGGTGCGGCCACCTCGCTCTCTACAGTTCTCGAGTCGTTCTGCGGCGAGCGCTACATAGTATGACAACAGGTTGCTACGTCTACGGGAACTGCAAAGGCCCGGTCGACCCTCAAGTCGCCTCGGGCATGAGCGAGTTGAGGAGCGACCCGCCCGAGACCGTGTCGGTCGTCAAGACGAGCAGGTTACGTGCTGCAGGGAGAGACGCAGACAGAGTCAGTGACGAATTCGAGAGGGCGAGGGAGAGGAGACGCACTCGGGATCTGACGGTTGAGGAGCCTGAGCGCCGAGATCTCGGCGAAAGTAATGCCGCCGAGGAAGCAGACGATGGTGGTCGGCAGCTCGCCTGGCGCAACTGCAGATGAGGCCCGAGGTTCAGTCGACGGGGCGCGAGAGAGGAAGAGGAGGGGACGCAGAGTAGAGAGAGGGGGGGACGCACGCCGTCTCGCGCCGTCGTCGGCCGGCTGCCGCTCGTCAAACGTCGCGCCCGGCAGCGCCTTGACGACCTCTTCGAGTCCCCTCCAGCCGTTGAGCCCACTCGCTGATCCTGCCGCCCCTGCCGCGCTCGCCGCGTCCGCCCCGCCGCCGAGCGCGCACTGGACGAGCCGGACGCCGAGCGGCGCGTAACCCGAGAAGACGTAGCTGATGTCGGACGGGTTCGACTCGTCGACGTCGTCGACGATGAGGCGCAGAGGTTTGCGCGCGAGGGCAAAGGGAGGTTTGGCGGAGCGAGAGGCGGCGACAGGAGGACGCATGAGGAGCGACAGGCGCTCGAGCGAGAGGAGGAGGGGGAGGTGGTCGAAGCCGTAGGTCTGCGGAAGACGGAACGAGTCAGTGCCGAGACCATGGACGGGTTGCAGAGCTCCCAACCTCGCGGCGAACAGACTGGGGAGCGAGGAGGACGCTCGACCGACGCACCTGCAGCACGTCGCGCTTGAACTCCTCGAGCGTCTTCTGCTTGATGCCGCCCGACACGATGCTGTACAGGCACAAGAGGCGCAGGACCGTCTTGAGCGGCGCCTCCTGGTTGATGAGGTCGCGGATCGAGTTCTCCTGCGTCGCGAGGTCGACGCCGGCGACGAGGTCTGTGCGCACGAGGACACAGGCTCGTGAGCGGGTCCGCTCAGGAGGATCGAGAGACTGAGAGGAGGCGGGACGCACTCTGCTGCACCTCAAGGCCCGTGTTGAACTCGTCCGTGACCGTGAGCGCCATGATCTGCTCCGTCAAGTTGGTGTCTGTGCGCGTCAAGCTCGTCAGGATCGGGTCCGTCATGCTCTGCGAGGAGCCTGGGTACACAGAAGGAGGGAAAGAGACGACGCACGCAGCCTCAACGCCTGATGCTCGCTCTGCAGTCCTCCAAGCTGGCCGACAAACTGCCGCAGCTCGGCGGGCGTCTTGGCCTGGTGGCGCTTCTCGTAGTCGTCGTTGAGGCGCCTCGCCGTGCGGTTCAGGACGTTGCCGACGACGGCAAAGTTCTTGTCGCGCAGCTCGGCGAAGAGCGGGTCGGTCGTCGACGTGAGGAGGTGCTTGCGCTTGCGAGGCGGCGGGGCACCGGCGCCGGCGCCGCCAAAGGTCGACTGGGACGGCGTCGAGGTTGAGGCTGCAGGACCCGGGTTGAGCAGGTTCGGGTCGACGTCGACGTGTGCTGGAGGGCGAGGCGAGAAGGGGTCAGTCAGGCTCGGGGCGAGGGATACGAGGACTCGAGAGAGAGAGATAGAGGGCGCACCGTGCTTGATGCCGACCACCTCGTCGACTAGACCCTCGTACGTCAACTGGGTGCAGAATGCCGACACCATGTCGACCTGGCGGTCGATGACGATCATCGAGTTGACGTAGCCGTTGGCGAGCGGTGCGGCCGACGCGTAAGAGGCTGGCTGCTCTCGCTGCATGCGCTTGAGGAGCTCCATAAGACGCTGTGGAAGTTGGCCTCAGAGTTAGTGAGGGAGAGAGCGAGGAGAGAGAGCGAGGACGGACCTGAGCCGAGTCGCCCTTGCCGATGATGCGCGGGATGGTGCCAAACGCTCGCTGCACCGTCATGAGCGCCTTGGCCATGTCGTAGATGCACGAGTGGTCGCCGTCCTGTGGGCAAAGGGCTTGTCAGTGCCTGCTGCGCGGGCAGGAGGAGGAAGGGGAGAAGGAGGACGCACGAGCTCCGTCTTTTTCCACGAGTCCTCGTACTCAAGACTGAGGACGTCCTTCTCGAGCGGGATGAGGCCGAGCTGCAGTTCTTGGACCTCGATCGAGCCGAGGACGCCCAAGTCGGACAGGACGGTCGTGCACAGGGTCGTCATGCGCGGCGCGACGAGGAGGTGGTAGTTGTGCTGGTTGGCCTGCGGGGTCGTGCGGACCTGGTCTGCGGGCGAGCGGGAAGGGTCAGCGTGTCCGACGTGACTGGACAGGGCCGCACAGGCACAGAGAAAGGGCAGGGCTTACCGGCGATGATGCGCATCCAGCGGACCTCGGGTCGGCAGACGTAGACGATGTTGCGCTCTGCCTGCGAGAGGACGCCCGGCTCGAGCCAGAACATCTTGGTGACGGCATGATTGTTCTGCAGATGGGAGCAGCAGGTCAGCGAGCGGGCTTGGGCCAGGTTCGGGTCGAGGTGGGGGAGTCGACGAGGACGAGGACGAGGGGCGGGGGAGACGAGGAGGGACGCACCTTGAGCAGGCCGACCTCGGTGACGAGGCCGAGAGGTCCAGCGAGGTTGGGGGTGAGGATGAGCGTCTTTGGCCCCACGATGGCGTCGAGGCGAGACTGGAGGGCGGTCGACCCGAGGAGGCGAAGGAGCTCGACGTCGAGCCCCGTCGACGAGGCGGGTGGTCGGGCTTGCATCGCGGGGACCTGCGAGCTGGTCGTGCCGAGCTGTAGGCGAGCTCTGGGCGACAGGCGAGCGAGGCGAGGTGCTGGCTTTCGTCCGACCCTCGCCTCCTCTCTCCGCGTCGTCGGCCTGCTCTGCTCCGGTCCGTCGACAGGCGCACGCAGGGCGGCGCTCGCTTGCCGCTCCTCGCTCTGCTCTCCTCCTGTCACTCGCACTCGAGCAGACCTCGCGGCCATCCACATGGCTTGCCTCGCTTCTCTCCCTCCCGAGCTTCTCATCGCCATCGTCGAGGCGGCCGCAGGCCCCGTCACCTACAGTGGGTCGACCGACCGCCGCGACACGCTCCTGCGCCTCAGCCTCGTCGGCCCGCTGCGGCACGCGGCACAACAGTGCCTCGCTCGCGCCGTGCATGTCAGGACGCCCGCGCACCTCGAAGCCGTACGGCGAGCGACGAGCGCGGTCCACCTCCAGTTCCTGTACCTCGACAACTCGGATGTGGACTTCACGGTCGTCTCGCCGAGATACCGTCTCGACGTCGCGGTATCCCAGGCCCTGCGCGCCGTCGCGCTCATCTTGTTGGACGGCGACCTCGACCTCGACCCACTCGCCGCACTGCCCGGTGCGTTCCCCAGTCTCTCTCAGTCAGGACCAGCGACAGATTGACTGACCCCTTGAACGTGCAGAGCTCGAGGATCTGCGCATCGACGGCTGCATCATCATCATCTCGCCGCACGTCGTTTTCGACAACGTCACGCGCCTCGAGGTCTGCTATACCGTCGCGCGCAAGGAGCACAAGGACATCTTCATCTCGTCGTCGTGCATGCCGCGCCTGCGCCACATGCGCTCGATCCATCACGAGGGCGAGGACCGCCCGTACGACATGTCGCCGTACCTGCGCCCTAACGAGGCCCTCGTCCAGCAGCTCGTCACGCTCGAGTACAACTACATCCCGGCCATCGAGCAGTACGACAGCATGGGCGACAGCGAGTGTCGCACGCTCTACGCCGTCGACCTCGCCGTCTTGCCCGCGTTCTTTGTGGGAGCTACGAGCTCCGCCAGCAAGGTCCGCCACGTCCGCCTCGAGCCGCCCAAGCTGCACAACGTCAACCCGCACATCACTATGCAGCTCGTCGAGGAGAACTTGCGCCGCATCTCGTGGCTCATCGAGAACAACGCCCCGCTCGTCGCCGACCTGCGCACCCTCCTCTTGCCCACGACTTTGCGCGACCTGCCTGCGCTGCTCGAGCTCGTCAAGACGGTCGAGACGTCTTCAAAGTCTCGGAACCGCACCATCAAGGTCTACTTCTCGAACGACTCGGGCAGGGACGTGCCACTCGGGCAGCCGACCCTCTTCATGCACCTCGCCGAGCACGGCGGGCTCGACGGCTGAGGGCGTGAGCTCTCTCTCTCTCTCTCTCTCTCTCGACACACTCGTACGGTGACTGACGCCTCGACCGCACGCAGAACTCGTCGATCTCGCCCAGTCGCTCGACCCTCCCTTCCTCCCTTTCCTCGACCTCATCTCTGCGCCCTTTTCTCGCCTCTTTCTCGCCGACCGACTCTTTCCGGCACGCTTCAGTCTGTATGTGGTGCTTCTTCCCTCGTCCTCTTCGTCATGTGCCCTGACTAGCTGTCTCACGCGCAGCTCGTCCTTCCCAGCCCTCGGGCGGCATCACTCGTCTCTCGCCGTCTCGTGCGTCACTCTCTTCCTCTCCCTCCCTCGCTAGCCTCGCCGAATCTGACACCTCTCGCTCTGCAGGCTTTGCCGCTTGGGCCGTAGCTGTAGCACTTCCACTCTTTCTCTGCGACCCTTTCTCTCGATCTCGTCGGCGCGCACGCAGAGAGAGAGAAAGAGACGAGAGCACGACCTGCATGCACTCGAGAGGACCATCTACGACAGCTTCTCGCCCTTTTCTCGCTGCTCTAGCCACCACTTGACGTCCCACGAGTCGAAGATCTGCGCCAGCTCCTTCGCCGCCGACGACGGCGAGTCGGATCCTGCGAGAGGGAGAGGCGGCGCGTGAGCGCGTCTCGCGCAAGACCCCTCCGTCTCGAGACGAGAGAGGGGGGACGAGGGGAGCGCAAGACGCACCGTGAAAGCCGTTCCTCGTGTCGCTCAGGCCGTACCTCGCCCGGAGCGTCTCTGCACGCTCCCACTGCGCCTTGTACACGTGCGTCGGCCCGATCAGGGTGCGCCACCGCGTGATGGCGTCGGGTGCGCACAGGGCGAGGGCGACGAACGGGCCCGAGGTGGCGTGCTGGACGAGGCGGGGGAAGTAGAAGCGGCCTGCGCGAGGGGGAGGAGAAAGGAGGTTGGCGGGGTGGATCGGCGAGGATGGGTCGGTTCAGCTCGGGCGCACCTTGATGCTCGGCGTAGAACTGCAAGGGAGAGGAGTGTCAGGCTCGTCCCCGCCGTGCGCCGCAAGCTGTCGAGGAGTGAGAGACGCACCTGCTCTGCGTCGCGCTCCTGCCAGAATAACCGCTTGGAGCGCACAATCTGCTCGGCGCGCAGGGTCAGGCCGCGAGAGAGAGAGGAGAGAGAGCTCAAGCGGGGCGCACCTCGAGCCCGCTCGCCTTGATGTGCCGCATGATGGCTGGGCGCGGTCACGAGGAGGTGGTGAGCTTGCGAGTCGATTGAGAGAGGGGGCAGGTGGGCGCACCTTGCACATGTGGCTGATGAGCAGCTACGGACGGCTTGATGATGCCCAGCGTGAGCTGCAGCGGCACTGATCCGCTCATCAGTTCGGGGCGATGTCGAGGTGGGGGTGGAAATGAGGAGGCGGTTGGTCGGTCGTGTGCGTGTGACAGTGCTGTTCAGAGCTGGGCTAGCTGGTCGATAGCTCTGCTGCCGTGCACGTCGACTGGAAGGGAGGACAGCGAGCTGGTTCGCTCGCCGCCTCGTCCGCCGTCCGTGGTCTCTCGTTCGCCCCGCCCCGGCTTGCGCTGGCGAGCGCGCCGCGGACTCTCCGAGCAGCGCTCGGGCTGCCGCCCATCGCGCCGCCGCGCGCTCGAGCGTCTCCGTGCTTCCCTCCTCGCTTCCTCCGCCGTCCTCGGCGTCGCTCGTCTCGGGCGGCTCTGTTGCCCATTCAGCCGCGCAGCCTCCCGTCCGTCCAGCCCCGAGGCGGACCCGAAGCTTTGCCCGTCTCTCGATAGCCGGCGGGGGAGGCTGGGCCGCGGGCAACCGCTCGACTCTCCTCCGCTTTCGAGCTTTCTCGCTCTCGCTCTTGCTCTCAGCCGCGCTCGCCGCCATGGATCGGCCCGTCTCTTCTCCCACGCATTCGGTCGTCACCGGACTCGACATCTACGGCGTCGCCGTCCGCGCCGTGTACAACGCGATCAACAAGGAGGAGGAGAAGGGTCTGGTCCCTCGCATACTCGTCCTCGATGGTGCGCCCTCGTCCCTCTTCCTCTCGCATCGTCAGGTCACTAGAGTCTCGGACGACGCAGGTCTCGCGGCGCTCACGGCGGCTTACGTCGCTCGCAACCGCAACCTCGACTCGGGTTTCCTCCTTCTCGACCATCCCCTGCCGGTCGAACTTGCGCCTGTCGAGCTGCGGTGCAAGGACAGTCGCAACGAGGCCGACCTCGATCGCGATATGACCACGCCCGGTGCGCCGCCTCTCTCTCTCTCGCTCGTCCGCTCGGCGGGCCCGGGACTGATCGCTCGGACCTCCTCTCGCTCTCGCAGAGCAGTACATCGCCCGGCGCCACATCCTGGAGGGCGAGGACCGCACTCCCACGTGGCTTCGCCGCGGCCACCAGCGCTCCGGGTCGGGTCGGTCGGGCCAGTAGCTCCTTTAGACGCTGTGCATCTATCTCTGTTGCCTCTCTTGACATCTGGCCAGCGAGAGAGTGCGAGCGAGCAACGAGCGGCGAGATTTGGAGCTGAAGGTCCGAGCGAGCGCGAGGCTCGTCGAGGCCGGCGCATGGACAAGCTCGGCGCAAGCAGGCTCGGTCTCTCTTCTCGAGCGAGTGCGTGACGGTGAGCCTGGCGAGCGAGACGCTTGACAGAGGGTCGGACGAGCTTCCTGCTCTCGGCGCGAGAACAGTCGCAAGCAGAATGTCGTCCTCGTTGCAAGCGCTCAGCTCCTCGCCTCGCTACCTCCTGCCCCTCTCGCGCTCGTCACTTCCACGCCTGCCTCGTCGGGTCGCGAGGGTAGCAGCTGAGGAACTGCTCGCGCCACTGCTTGAAGCGGTCCTCGCCGAACGAGGCTTTGTCGAAGATGAACTCGATGCGCTTGACCTCCTCGTACTCTGCGCAGGACGTGCGAGGGGTCAGTGCTTCGACGACGAGGAGGATGGCGAGAGAGAGAGAGAGAGAGGGAAAGAGGGACGCACTCTCCTCAAAGTTGACCGACTCGTACTTGGCGAACCAGCTCCTCCAGTCCTCTTCGCCGAGCCACGCCGGCCTCTCGCCGACGCCGCCCGTCGCCTCGCCGCCACCCTTGCCGTGCAGCCACCAGAAGACGTGGTTGTGCTTGGCGAGGTCCTCGTCGACGTTCCACACGAACGCGCGCACGCCGTGCTCGGCCCGGCTGTGTTTCTCGACGAGGCGGATGAGGGCGCGGCGAGCGGCGCGGGTCGGGAGAGGGGCGTCGACGACGATGGAGGTGGGAGAGTCGCGCTCGAGGAGGCGCTGGAGCTGGACAGGGTCGGTGGACGTCTGTGACCGGGCGGGAGTGAGCGACGCACGCTCTCGAGCCTCGCGTACGACGACTCGCACGTCAAGAGAGAGAGAGAGGGGACGCACAACACGAACGTAGTCCTTGCCCTCGAACCTCGTCGTCCACATGTGCGTCTTGCCGCAGCTGGGCGGGCCGATGAAGAAGACGACCTCGAAGACGGGGTCGTCCCACTCGCTCCTCTGCTTCTTCATGACGAGCCTCCTGTTGGTCGGCATGAACATGGGGACTGTGAGAGGGTGGGAGAGAAAGTGTCAGTGCCGAGGACTCGTGAAGAGAGAGGGCGAGGGAACGAGGAGGTTCGAGCGCACCGTCGTGGTCGTGTTTCCTCGCCAGCCAGCCCGTGAAGCGCCAGTTGGTGTCGCCGGGCTCGCCGAGGAAGTACTGCTCGGCCGTCTGGAAGGAAAGGCCGACGTTGACCGAGAATTCTGTCGGCGGGACGCGAGGAGGGTCAGTGCGAGTTTGGGAAGGTCGAGTGTAAAAGGGCGGCGAGGCACTCAAGTCCCAGTCAAACAAGCTCCCTGACGCTCCAGCTGCCGAGCCGACCGAGAACGACTGGTCCATGTCTGCAGGAGCTCGAGTCAGAGACGAGTCGGCGGCGCTGAGAAGGGAGACCGGGACGCACCGATCGTCTTGCCGAGGTTCCAGCGGCGCTCGAACTCGATGAAGGCGCCCGGCGCAGGCTTGCGGTACGGGTCAAAGGCTGTCGACGTGAAGATGCGGACCGGAAGGTTGAGGTCGCGCAGGACGTTGGCGATGCGCCCCTTGAACTCGTCGACGTGCTCCTTGCCCGACGACGTGAGGGTCGCAAAGATGACGAGGGCGTACCTGTACCGGTAAAAGGTCAGGAGAACGTCGAACTGGACTCGAAAAGGCGACGAGGGAAAGAGGGGACGCACCCGTCGTCGTGCAGCTCGCGCAACTTGTCCTTGACGCGGTCGTCCTCGGTGAACCACCTCCACTCGGTCGTGCCCGTAAAGTGCTGGACGAGGAGCTTGGGCTTGATGAGCGTGTGTTCGAGGCCTGGAGGAACGCGTCGGTCAGCTCGGCACGGGGGACTGGTGCGAGCGAGGGAGAGGGACGCACTGAAGACGGCGATCTTGCTGCTCGGCTGAGGGTGGCCGTACACGGCGTGCAGGACCGACTTGAGCTCGCCGACGTTGGCGAGCCAGCGCACCGACTGGATGCTGCGCTCGACGATGGGCGAGGTGTCGTCGAGGCGGGGAGCTTTGAGCGGGCGAGCGTCGTCGGGAGAAGGAGGGGCGGCAGCGCGCTTGCCTGCGCAGGGGGCAGCACGGGTGAGCGATGCTCGGAGAGCTGGCAGAGAGGCTGTGGGACGCACCGGTCGAGGAGGACATGGTTGGCCAAGTCAGAGCGAGAGGTCGAAGGCGGGGAAAGGGCGGACCGGAAGGCGCGGCGTACGACGCTCGAGGCGCGTGCGCCGACCGACTCATCTCTCCTTGCTGCAGCGAGGAGCACGCACGAGGGGCTACGGCTCGACGATCATACAACACTGCACTGCTACGACTGGACCGCCGCCACCGCTCGAGACGCTCGCTCGCACCCCCTCCTGCTCAGACCCGCAGCGCCCAGATGCTCCTCACCTCGCCCATCGTCAACCGGTTCCCGCTCGCGCTCAGCACCTCTTCGGCCTCCTCCGGGCTGTCGAGCGTCAACAGCGTCGCGATCTGCTGCAGCCGCGAGAACGACTCGCGCAGCGAGCCCGACGCGAACGACGCCTGCGACGACAGGTACGAGAGGATCGTCCGGATGTCGCGGTCGAGGCGCAGGGCACCGAGCTGTTGCGCTTGCTCGACGTGAGCTCGAATGCGGCGAGAGAGGCGAGGGAGAAAAGAGGGCGCACCTCGGTGAACTTCATACCGCGGACCATGCTCTCCCACGGCCGCACGAGCACGTTGACGGCCGTCGAGAAGAACAAGTTGAAGTTGCCCTCGGTGAGCGAGTCCTGCACAGGTGCAAGGGAGGCGGCAAGGTCAGGAAAAGGCGGGCGAAAGGGGAAGGGAGGGAGTGAGGGAAGAGAGGGAGGGGGCGCACCTTGTACCCGCTCAGGAGGCCGTCCCACGCCTTGACGAAGCGCTTGCGCACGTCGTCGCGGTACTCGGCCTCGTTGTACGCGTCGTCGTCGAGCTTGTAGCTGACGTCCTTGTACACGTCGCTCAGGAGCGGGCGCAGCTTTGGCCGCACGAGCTGGTTGAACAGGTGGTCGAGGCCCGACTTGAGCACGCCGCGGAACTTGTCCTCGGACGAGCGCACGAGCGTGAGCGCCGTGCGGGCGCGCTCGAGCTCGGAGAAGAGAAAAAAGGCCGAGCCGAGGGCGTCCGACGAGGCGAGCTCGGCGAGGAGGCGCGACGTGTAGCTCGCCGCCGTGTCGAGGTCGTTGAGGTAGACCTGCGCACGTCGAGGGGTCAGGGAACGGGTCGAGGACGAGGAAGAGAGGCAGAGAGAGAGAGAGAGGTCGGGCGCACGATGTAGACGTTCCTCGCCTCGCGCTCGCGCGTTTCTCGCTCCTCCTCCCTCGCCCTGCCGCCGAGCTGCGCCGCCATGCCCGTGACGGCGATGCCGCCAAGCGCCGTCTGGCTCTGCGCGTTGGCGGCGAGGTCCTTGAACGCGCCCTCGATGCGCGCCTTCCACACCTCGGCGACGTCGCGCTCGAGAACGACGCGCAGCTCCTTGCACATGGCGACGAGGTTGGCGACGTTGGCCGTGCTGACGATGCGGTGGAGCGTCTTCTTGACGATGTAGAACGTATCGTCGAGCGAGGAAGAGAGGTACGGCGTCGAGGAAAAGTCGGCCTCGTCCATCTGGTGCGCCTGCGAGGAGGGAAGGAGGGTGTCAGGGAGGGGGCAAGGAGAGGGTGGAGCAGGAGGAAGAGGGGACGCACTCGCTCGATCGCCGTCCTCAGGTACCAGACCTCGAGCGGCATGTAGGCCTCGCGCAGCTGCTTGGTCAAGACCTTGCCGAGCTCGCTGTCCTCGACGACGGCGAGGTCGGCCTCGTCGGCCGGCGGGTCCGAGAGCTTGGCCGCCGCCGGTACTGCTGGCGGGTCGAGCGTCGCGGTCGCGTCCGAGTTGGAGGGCGGACCGACGATGGCCGGCGGCGGCGTTTCTGGCTCGTCCTGCAGGCGCCCGAGTCAGGCTTGGCTCGAGCGGGAGAGGGAGGGACGAGAGAGAGGAGGGACGCACCTTGAGTGAGCCGTACAGGAACCGCCGCAACAGCTCCCACCGCCCGCTCATCATCGTGAGCTCCGTCAGGATGGCGTCGACCTCCCTCGGGTCGAGGTCGCCCTCGCTCGCCGCCGCCGGCGTCTCGAACCCGCCCTGCTGCTGCACCATCGGGCTCCCGCCGGGCCTCGGCGGCAGCGGCTTGCGCGCGTACGCCTCGGACGACGCGCTCGCAAAGCGGTGCGAGTGCGCGTCGGCGACTCGTCGCCGGATGCGCCGCTCGTCCTCCCAGTTGGCGAGGACGCGCACGCCGAGCTTGTCCGTCTCGGTCATGAGCGACCCGGCGACCGAGAGCATCTTGCCGTCGCCGTAGTACTTTTCGACGACGGGCTGGTGCTGCGAGATGATGAGGGCGATCGCCTCGAACAGGGCCGTGAGGAGGGACGAGAAGTGCGTCGGGCTCTGACCTGCGCGCGTCGAGCTGCGTCAGGGACTGTGGAGGGAGGCAAGGAGGATCAAGTGGACGCACTCTTGCTGCTGAGGGCACCGGTCTTGGCGCGCACGATGTCGGCGACCCACAGGGCGTACACCTCGAGGCCCTTGTCCTCCTCCTCGATCATGGGGAACAGCTTGAAGAAGCGGTTGATGTTGTTGGTGTCGTTGGCGTCGGCGGCGGCGCGGAACGAGGTGAGGAAGGTGTCGAGGAGGGAGGCACGAAGCTGGGCGAGGGTTGCGGTTGGGGCGGACGGGAGGTCGGCGGTGGGCTGCATGGTCGGACGACAGGGGGTCAGTGCGACGTCCTGGGACTGGCCGAGGGAGAGGGAGCCAGCGGGCGCACCACGACGGCGTCGGCAAAGCTGCTCGAGGCGATGACGGGGTCGATGGCGGTCGCGCGCTGCATGGAGCGAGTAGCGGCCTCCCAGTCGTGCTTCTGCATGTTGACGTCGAGGCTGGCGATGGCCGACTTGAGGTCCTGCACGGCCTGGACCATCTCGATGCACTCCTTGACGCGCGACTGTGGGCGGTGCGGGTACGAGTCAGCGAGGGCAAGCGGGCGGACCCCCCACCTGGGCCCGAACGACGAGAGGGAGGAGGGAAGGGGGAGGGACGCACCTGCTCCTCGTCGAGCCCGCGAACTTGGGCTCCGACACGCTGTGCGGTCTGTGCGACTGCGCCGATCTCGCCAGCCATGTGCTCTGCCTCGCCGTGGATGCCGCCGACGACGTCGCCCAACGAGCCGAGGGTGCGGAGCTGGCTGGCGAGGCGAGCTCGGCTCGAGATGAGGGCCGTGAGGCGGGCGTCGAGGGTGCCTTCTTGTGCGGTGAGGGCCTGCAGCTGGCGCTCGACGTCGGCGCGGGTGACGAGCGCGACCGGGTCGACGCGAGCGCTCGTCGTGGTCGACGCGAGAGGAGGCGAGCCGACAGGCGACACGGCGGCGGCCATGGAGGGCGCGCTCGCTGCACGGAGAGCAGGGCTCAGGGCGATACTGGCCTTGGTCGGCGCGGTTTCGAGCGAGGTGAGGTCCTCAGAGGTGGACAGCTGCTCGCTGCTCGCCGTCGTCCTGGCTCTGCTCCTCTCTACGCGGCTCGCATACGCTTGCAACCTGGGGGCTGGCACTTGCACTGCTCTGCGCCACCGCCTGCTGCCCTCGGCCCCCGCCGGCGCTGCCTCCCCTTCCCTCTCCTGCTTCTCCTCCTCCTCCGCCCACTCAGCCTTCTCGCTCCCACTCCTCCGCTGGCCATCGCGCGGCGCCGCGAATCGACCTGCTGGCCGGTCCGAGCTCGGCTGGGCGTCCGTACGCACCCCAGTCTGTGGCCTCGGCTCCGCGGACCGTTCGCCAGCTGCCCGCTCGCTCGCTCTGTCCTCTCTCGCTGTCGCTCTTCGACGCTCAGCATCTTGTTGCAACCATGCCGCCTCTGGCAGAGCACCGCGCGCCCCAGCACGAGTCGAGGGTGACCGGGCTCGACGTGTTCGCGTCCGCGGTGCGCCTCGACGTCGAGGAGCGGGCCAAGGCGGTCAGGGAGCGCAGGCCTGCGCCGCTTCTCGCTCTCGACGGTGCGTCCCGCTCCTTTCGCCCCTGCTCCGAGTTCTCGCACTGACCGGACTGCCTGCACGACAGGCTTTGCGGGCCTCGTCGCCGCCTACATCGCCCTCCACCACGAGCATGGTCTCGACCTGCCGTCGGCCTTTCTCCTCACCGACACGCTCTGGCCGAGCGACGTCGCCCTCGTCACGCTCTGCCGCGACGAAGCCGACGCGCCACCGCCGCTCACGCACGCGCTCGTCCAGAACAACCGTGCGTCCGCTTTCCGCTCCCTCGACCCCTCCTGCACGGTCCTGACCCTTTCTCCTCTCTCAGCCGACCGTGTCTTGCCTCGCTACGGCCTCGAGGAGGTGCCGACCGCCGAGGAGCAGTTGGTGAGGGCCCTCTTCACCTTTCGCCTTCTCGCCGCGACCCAGTTGCGCGAGTTTGTCACGCGCCACGCCATCGCCGAGGGCTATCTGAAGGCGCCAGGCCACCCGCGGCACCTCGTCCGTGTGTCGACGGCATTTTGGAAGTCGATGGACGCCGGCCACGTGGACAAGCTCGACTACTCGGCCGTTCGCCCGAGCGCCATCGCCGTCTGGGCTCTCGAGGTCCTGTGCGCGCTCGAGCGAGTGACCGCGACCTCGTACGGCGCGTGTATGCTGGTGCGCCTCGTCTACGTGTTCGAGTGCGAGTCGCGCGCGAGCTCGCTCAAGCTCAAGGAGGTCTGGCTCAAGAAGCGCGACTGGCTCGAGTGCCTCAGCATCATCAAGGCCAACGGCGAGCTCAAGGTGCTCGAGGACGGCGTCGCCAAGCTGTCCGACCAGGCCCTGCTCGACGCGCTCGCCCAGTGGGAGGTCGAGATCCACGGCGGCGACGAGCGCAGCGTCCGAGCGTCCTACTCGCGCGCCATGACGTTGTATGGCACGTTGGTCAAGGTGCGCCGCATTCTGTCTCTCTCACTTTCTCTGTCGTCGAGTCGAGTCGAGCCGAGCCTGACTGCCTCTCTCTTTCTGCCGAGCAGGACACGGTCGCTCACCTCTCGAAGCCCCGGTCGGCGACAGCGTACCACCCTGTGCGCCTTCTCGTCCTCGTTCTCGTCTCGGTCGACCTCGCGCATTTCTGACTCTCTTCGTCTACAGCTGCCTCGTGGAGAAAGACGCGTGCGGCTGCATCGTTCGACGACGCTGCCGGCGACGGCGGAGGAGCTCGAGCCTGCCGTGCGTCTTCCTCCTTCCCTCGCCTCGTCCTCCCTCTCTCGCGTCGCTTCGCGCCGCCACTCACGCAGAACGACCGCTCGCAGGCTGTCGCGAGCGCGTCGACCTCGTCGCCAACCGCCAGCCGGAGCGAGCACCGTGACGTCCCGGCCTGGAAGCGAGCGTTCCAGCGTCCTCGTCGAGACAACACGGATTGAGTAGCGGCGACCTCGAGATGTATAGACCGCGTCCTCTGCTGTATGTGTGCGACGGAGAGAGAGCGCAGGAGAGCGAGGAAGCCGGTTGACTTGGAGACTCGGTCGACGTCGACCTCGTCGTCGTGGCCTTCGTCCAGCTCGCCCACGACAGCTCGAGCCACCCGGGAAGCTAGCGTGACCGACTCCCACACCCTTCTCGCCTGCCCGAGCCTCAGCCAAGGTGCGCCCGTCGTCCTCTCCCTCTCGGATGACGGTCGAGCTGATGAGATCTCGCCCCCTCCCTGCAGACCTCGCACAGCCCTGAGTGCTGCTCTACTGCGACCTGCTACACCCTGCCGGCCCTGTCCGCACCGCTGCGCCCTCGCGCCTGACGGCGGCAGCCGCTCCTCCTCCTCGTCCAGCTGGCGAGCGCCTCCTCAGCGTCCGCGACGGCGGCGTGCCGGACTCTGCAGCCACGTGCGACGCCGAGCTTTCTGCTGCCCTCTCCTGGAAGCTCCCTGGCCCCGACAATCGCGGCCTTGTGGCCGCGCGCCGTCCGCGGACGTTCCAGGTCGCGCCGCTCGCTCCGCCCAGCTTTTGCCTCTGCTTCCTCCCGTTCAACGAGCACGTCGATCCGGCATGTCGTCCTCGCTCGTGCACGAGCCCAAGCACGATCGCCTCACCGCGCTCGACACGCTCGGCGTCGCCACCAACGCCCTGCTCCACGCGCAAGATGCGGCAGCTCGTCGCAGCGCCAGGATGCCCCAGTTGGTCCTCGTCGGTGCGTTCCCTACCAGTCCTCGTCTCATTGTCGACTCGAGTACTGACCCTCAGCTCGAGCAGGTCTTCCCGCAATCATGGCCGCCTACCTCGCCTTCTGCCACGACGAGCCCGAGCGGCAGCTTCCCTCTGGGTGGCTCCTCAGCGACAAGCTTCTCACGACCAAGACGGCGCGAGTCTCGTTCTGGACGGCCAAAGGCGACGACACGAACATCCTGTTCGGCGACCTGGCGGCCGGCGCATGTGGCTGGGACCGAGGCGCGTTTTCCCCTCCTTCGAGGACGAGTGGCCGAGGCCTGACGAGCTCCCTCCTGCAGACAACTACGCTTTTCGCCGGTACCAGCTCGAGATCCCGCCCTCGCACGTGGACGACGACGTCGCAATGTGTGTCCTCGAGCTCGAGCCCAGCCCGTCGGTCGACCTCGTCCACCTGTCGCAGTGGCACACGTTCGCGCCGAGTCAGCTTTGCGCCGAGGGTCACCCTGCGCACATCTTGCACCTGTCGACCGACCTCGAGCGCCTCATGCGGCAGGCCGCCGTCCGCAACATCGTCTACTTGGCCGAGCACCCGACCGTCCTCGTCTTTCACGCGCTGCAGCACATCATGTTCGCGTCGGACCTCTCGGCCACCAAGGTGTCGGACAGCCTGTTCAGCTCGAGCTTCCTCGTGCGGGTCATCTGCAGCTTCGAGCGCGAGAGCGCCGAGCGCGGCGTCAAAGGCCATTTCCTCTCGCCCGAGGCCTGGTACGCCTGTCTCGACGTCCACCGCGCCGACCTCGACACCCTGCGCGAGAAGGTCGACAAGATTGCCTGGTTCGCCCTCGGGCGCAAGCTCGCCGTCGCCGACTCGCGCCTCGACCGGTGGTCGTCCACGGGCTCGGACCGCGCGTTTCAAGAAGGCGCGGCGCAGTACACGTACGCCATGCAGATGCTCGCCGAGCTACTCAAGGTGCGCCCATACGCTCTCTCCCTTTCGTTCTACACGAGCACGCGCCGGACGAACGCCGATCCCGCCGCAGGTCACCGTCGACTTCTTCCGCTCGAGCGACGTCGGGCTGCCGCTGAGCGACATCCACCGAGTGCGTCATCCCCCTCTCGTGCTCTATCTCTCGCAGCAAGACTGACGGTATGCGTTTCAGTTCCCCTTCCTCGACCAGTGTGCCCGCCCAAGGTCGCCTGAGCTCGTCGCCCCGCCCGGACCGCTCAAGAGGTCTCCTCTCCGCCACCGTCGTGTGCGCCCTCCTCCTGTTTTCCCTTCCATCCTCGTCGTCGTTCCCTTACTCTCCTTCCTCCATGAACAGCCCCCTCCGACTACGACGAGCCCGGACCGTGCGGGACACGGGTCGGCGACCGTGTACCACCCTGTGCGCCCTCTCGTCCTCGTTCTCGTCTCGGTCGACGCGGCGCATCTCTGACTCTCTTCGTCTACAGCTGCCTCGTGAAGAAGAGCGCGTGTGGCCGCATCGTTCGACGACGCTGCCGGCGCCGGCGGAGGAGCGGCCTGCTGTGCGTCTTCCTCCTTTCCTCGCCTCGTCCTCCCTCTCTCGCGCCCCTTCGCCTCGTCGCTCACGCAGACATATCGCTCGCAGGCTGTCGCCGCCTCGACCTCGTCGCCAACCGCCAGCGTCCCGGCCTGGCAGCGACCGTTCCGGCTGCGTCGAAAGGCCACGAATTGAGTAGCGGCGAGGGAGCTCGGCTCGAGTTGTATAGACCGCGTCCTCTGCTGTGTGTGTGCGACGGAGAGAGAGCGAGCGGGTTGACTTGCGCCGAGAGTCGCGGTTGACCTCGTCCTCACTCAGTCACCACCTCGCCTCGCTCACTACAACCTGCGCCAGCTCGGCGACACTCGCACCACCTCGCACGATGGGTGTCCAGGGCCTGTGGAAGATCGTCGGCCCTGTCGCGCGGCCCATCACCCTCGAGTCGCTCGAGGACAAGCGGCTCGCTATCGACGCGAGCATCTGGCTGTACCAGTTCCAGATGGCCATGCGCGACCGCAAGACGGGCGACACGCTCCACGGAGCCCACATCAGTGCGTCCTGCGCGCTCCCTCTCCCTCTCTCGTCGTGTCCTCGGGGTCGAGGAGGCGGTGCTGGCCAGATGAAGCGAGCTGACCACGGCTCTCTCGCGCGCAGTGGGCACGTTCAGGCGGGTTCTCAAGCTCCTGTTCCACGGCATCAAGCCCGTCTTTGTCTTTGACGGCGACGCTCCCATGCTCAAGAAGCGCACCATCGTGCGTCCACCCTTCCCCCTCGTCCTCCCTCGCCTCGCCCGCCACAGCTGACCTTGCTGGCCGAGTCCCGCAGGAGAACCGCAAGCGACGCAAGCAGGGTGCCGGGACCGACCTCGCCAAGACGGCGCAGAAGCTCCTGTCGGCGCAGCTTCGCACGGTCGTTGCCGAGCGCGAGTTGAACAAGCGCGTCCCTCGCTTCCCTGCCCTGTCCTCCTCGGGCTCGTCGAGCTGACTATCGCTTTCTACAGGCGCCGCAAGGAGAAGCGCGACGCGGCAGCAGTCGCGGCGGGGCGCGCGGCCATGTTGGACGTCGACACGGGCGAGCAGATCGGCGAGGACGCCGTCTACCTCGAGGACCTCGACAAGCCGGCCTCGCCCCTCAAGCCGGCCCGCAAGGACGTGCTGCGCGACGAGTACGCGCTCCCGCAGATCGAGGGCTCGCTCGCGGCGCGCGCCAAGATGTCGGACCCGCGCATCGCGACCGAGGAGGAGCTGCGCGAGTTCATCGAGGACCTGCGCCCCGAGGACCTCGACATCGAGTCCGACTTCTTCAGCACGCTCCCGACCGAGGTCAAGTACGAGATCCTCGGCGACCTGCGCGTCAAGACCCGCCAGGTCAACCACCGCCGGGTCCAGCAGATGCGCGGCGCGGCCGCCGTCGACTTCTCCAAGGCGCAGATCAGCCACCTCATGGAGCGCAACCAGTACACGCAGAAGCTCCTGAGCGTCACCGACGAGCTCGGCAAGTCGGCCATCGCGATCCCGACCCGTGTCGCCGGCTCGCGCAACCGCGAGTACGTGCTCGTCAAGCAGGACGCGAGCAAGGGCGGCGGCTGGGTCCTCGGCGTCAAGAACCCGGAGCTCCTCAGCACCGAGCCGATCACGATCGACACGACGACCGACGAGAGCGTCGACGAGCACACCGACACGGACGAGTTCGAGGAAGTTGCCGGCCCGAACGAGTGCGTCCCTCTCTCTCTCTCTCTCTTCCGCCGCGCTCGTGCGCCCGTACTGACTTGTCCTTCTCGCAGCGTCAACGCAGGACTGCCGACGCCCGACGTGCAGGCGCGTCGAGCTCTCGCCGAGGAGGCCGTCCGCGCCCGTTTCGCAGCGGCCGCGCCCGTGCCAGTCGTCGACCCGTACCTCGATCAACCCGTCGCGTCCACCTCTCGTGGCACCGGCCTCTTCCAGCACGATGCGCCCGCCGACGACGAGGACGTCATCTTGCAGCGGGCGCTGTACGAGTCGGCGCAGACGGCCGACTCGCACGACCTGCACCGCACCTCGCTCCCGCCGATCGCGTCCACCTCGCGCTCTACAGCCTCCTCGTACCCGCCGCGCCACTATCCGTCAGCGTCGTCCTCCCGCTCGATCAAGGTCACCACCCCCGCCATATCTCAGCCCCCTCCTCTCGCTCGCGACGGCGCCAACGCCAGCGATACGGACGACGACGAGCTCGAGTACGTCTCGCTCCCGACGGCGAGCAGTCGCCCGCCTGTCCACGCGCCACCTTATGCGCCACCTGCGGGACCGCCGACCGCCATGGACACGGACGGCGAGGGGTCCGACGCGTTCGAGGAGGTTGCTGTCGCTCACCCACCCGTCGAGGCCGCCGCACGACAAGCTCCTGCACCTGTACGTCCGACTGCGACCGCCACCGTCACCCTGCCGTCGTCCTCGCCGCGTCTGCCTCCAGCACCTCCTCCACGTCACCACGCGCCGAGCGGCTCCTCTCGCCCAGCCTCGCCCGCTCCCCGGCGGCCCGCCACCCCGCCACCGCCCGCCGCAGCGGCGAGCCGCACCCTGTTCGACAGGCTCCTCCCCTCGGACTCGGACTCGGAGAGCGAGGCCTCGCCCCGCAAGCCGGCACCCGCACGACCCGCCCTTCCCCTCCCTCCTGCACCTTCGCCTGCCGCACGCCCGCCGCAAGGGCGCCTGTCGGTATCGCCGGACCCCTTTGACCGGTACGAGCACGGCGAGGACGAGCACATGGGCGAGGGCGAGGTCCAAGCGCGGGACTTTGCGTCGTCGCCGCCCGTCGAGGTCGAGGTCGACGCTCTCGCCGGCGCGGCATCGGCCGCTCCCCCTCCTGCCGCACGAGCCGCTTCCCCTCGAAGCGCCTCGCCTCCTGCGCCTTCGTCCCGCCCTCGCTCGCCGACGCCGCCGCGCGTCCTCCCGGCGGCCCCTCAGCCGGCTTCGACCCGTCCACCCTCGCCACACCCGCCCGTCGTGCACGAGGCGGACCTCCTCGCCCTCACGCACGTGTCGGCGCCGCTTCCCGCAGCCCCGCGGCCGAGCGCCATCGCCCCGACCCGCGAGCAGGACGACGTCCGTGCGCCGTCGCCCGTCAACATGCCGTCGCCGCTGCCCCTCCTCGAGAAGGCGCGCGAGGCGGTGCAGGCCGAGGAGGCCGACGTCCTTCCCGCGACGGTCGCACAGCTCGGCGCGCCGGCCGGTCCGGCGCTCGAGGCGGGCGAGGCGGACAAGCACATGGTCGAGCCGGCGGCAAGGGCCGAGGGGCAGGGCGAGGGGGCTCAGAAGGGGGCCCAGGACGACGACGAGCTCTTCTTCTCCGACTGGAGCAGGAGCCCCACGCCGCCACCTCGTCGCGAGCAGGACGGCGTCGAGGGCGGGCCGAGCGTCACGGCCGCCGAGCAGGTCGCCGAGGACAGCGCCGAGTGGTACTACGACCTCAACGACGACGAGGAGGCCGAGGCGCTCCAGGTGCTCGAGCGCGAGGAGGAGGCATTCGCCGACGTTATGGCGCAGCTCCGCAACGAGAAGATCGAGAAGATGCGCGCCGAGGCCGAGAAGGACGTCCTCAAGCTGTCGGAGCAGCGCAACGTCGAGATGCGCAACGCCGACGGCGTCACGAGGCAGATGGCCATCGACATCAAGGTGAGCCCGCTCGGTTTCCTCCTCTCCTGCCGCATCCTCAAAGAGCCCCTTCCTGACCCTCGACCCTTTCTCTCCCCGTCCTTCCCTCGCCTCGCCTCGCAGGAGATGCTCATCCTGTTCGGTATCCCGTACGTCGACGCGCCGATGGAGGCCGAGGCCGAGTGCGCGTCGCTCCTCACGCGCGAGCTCGTCGACGGCATCGTCACGGACGACTCGGACGTGTTCCTGTTCGGCGGGTCGCGCATCTACCGCAACATGTTCAACGAGGCCAAGTACGTCGAGTGCTACCTCCTCGCCGACCTCGAGCGCGAGATCGGCCTCGACCGCGACAAGCTCGTCCGCCTGGCGTACCTCCTCGGGAGCGACTACACCGAGGGCCTGCCCGGCGTCGGCCCTGTCGCAGGGCGCGAGCTTCTCGAAGAGTTCCCGGGCAAGCACGGGCTCGAGCGGTTCAGAGACTGGTGGGACCGGGTCCAGAGCGGCAAGGACTCGGAGCAGGAGACCAACACGTCGTGGAAGCGGCGCTTCGTGCGTCCAATCTCCCTCTCTCTCTCTTCTGTCTCTCTGCGCCGGTCCAAGGCCTGTCACTGACCCTGTTCCTTCTCTTGCGCAGAAGAAGGGCCACAAGGAGCTCATCCTCGACAAGGGCTGGCCGCCAAAAGACGTCGTGCGTCCCGATCTTCCTCGTCATCCTTCTCGGCGCGACGACCTACTGACCCATACGCGCCCTTGCGCCCACAGGCCGAGGCGTACTACCGGCCGACCGTCGTCGAGAGTGACGAGCAGTTCTCGTGGAGCGGCGTCGACCTCGACGGCCTGCGCTTGTACGTCCCCTGCCTCCTCTTCTTTCCCTGGCTCGTCGACCAGTTCCTGACGTTCACTCGCCCGGCAGCTACCTCAACCGCTCGCTCGGCTGGGACCAGGTCAAGACGGACTCGCTCCTCTTGCCCCTCATCAAGCGCGACCAGGAGCGCAAAGCCGGCGCGCTCCGCAAGCAGCCCGTCATGACCGACTTGTGCGTCTTGCTCTCCCCTCTCCCCTCCTCCCGCCCACCGGTTTCGATCCTGGACTGACTCGCATCGTGCAGCTTCGACTATACGGCCGGCGACGCACCGTTCTCGCGCAAGAAGCAGCCCAAGTACGCGAGCAAGCGCCTGCAGAACGTCGTCCAGGTGCGTCCAGCCTCGTCCTCCCTCTCAAGCCTCACTCTGGACCCGAGCTGAGCCTCTCTTGCCACGTGTGCAGCAATGGAAGGACAAGTCGCAGCCCAAGGGCAAGGAGAAGGCCGAGGAGGAGGAGCCCGAGGAGGCCGACGGCGGGGAGCAGGTCCAAGCGGCGCCGAAGAAGAAGCGAGCGAGGAAAGGTGCGAGGCGCTCTCTCTTTGCCCTCTCGGTCCCTCCCTAGCACCGACTGACTCTTTGCGTCCTCGACAGCGTCGACGACGACCCGTGCGCCCGCCAAGAAGCGGTCGACGGCCGCGTCTCGCAAGCGCGCCGAGCAGCAGGCGCGCGCCGACCGCGCCGCAGCCAACGGCGGCGAGCTCTCGAGCGACGAGGACCTGCGGTCGGACTGGGAGAAGGACGGCAAGGGCGGAGCGGAGGTGTCGTCGAAGAAGGCGAGGACGCAGCCTGTGAGGGGGAGGAAGGCTCCGAGGAAGATCGCGCCGCCGCCGACGAGCAGCGAGGGCGAGGTCGAGTGACAGATGGTCGTACATAGTCGCAGAGCAGAGCTTGACGCAATCGCAGTACCCTTTCCGTCGTCAGTCTCTCGAGTTTGTGCAGCACCGCCTCGCTCTGAGCGGAGGAGGAGGAGGAGGAGAGCGCAAGCACCGCCCGCGGCTTTTGCGCTGAGTTTGCCCAGCGCAGTCGACGAGCCTTGCTCGTGCACGGTCTAGCTGCGCCGCAAGCCGCACGAGCAGCACCGGCCACAGCGTCCCTCGCCCTGCAACCTCCCGCCCCTTCTTGAATCGTCGTTGTCGTCGCCGTTCCTCGTCGCCGTTCCACCACTTTTCGCCCACAGCCAGCGTCTACCTCATCGAGGACCTGCGCTTCCACCAGCACCCGCCGAGCAGCCTCGTCCACCAGGCGAGCACACCGCCGCCGCCGATCGTTTCCCTCGTCATCTACCAGGCGCCTCGTCGACTCGCCGACCATGGAGCCGCAGCCCGGCCGCCAGCAGCAGCAGATGCAGTACCACCCGCAGTACCTGCACGAGCAGCAGCAGCAGCAGCAGGCCCGCCAGCCGCCGCCGCAGCACCAACACGGTGCCTTCCCCCCTCCTCAGCACGCCCAGCCCCAGCCCCAGCGCCAGTCGAGCTACGGCGTGCCGCCCAGCCCCGTCGCCGACCCTCGCCTGCGCAGTAGCGCCGGCAGCACCGGCTACGGCGGCAGCGCCCCGCTCTCGCCCGTCGACGGGCCCTCCCCGACTCGCGCCTACCCTGGTTCGGCCGCAACCACCGCGACGGCGAGTGCCCGCCAGTCGCCCGCCCCCTCGGGCCACTCGCGCGATGGCTCGTCGGCCCCGACTCGCCCGACGAGCCAGCTCCCCTCGGCGGGCAGCTCTCGGTCGCTCGCGAGCCAGGTCGCCCCTGTCGCCGGCCCAGGCGGCGCCGCACCGCCGCAGACGATTGCGGGCGAGCCGTTGCACGACCTGCAGCGTGCGGCGGCGCTCCTCAAGAGCAGCAAGTTCTACGCCGAGGGCTTCCTCATGAAGAAGGTCGAGGCCAACCCCGAGGGCAAGGTGCGCCTCGTCTCTCTCTCTTGCCGCCCCTCCCAGTGCTCGTCGGGCAACCCAGACTGACGTGCAACTCTCCCCTCCAGGGCACGACCGGCTCCGACGCGCAGTGGGCCAAGTGGTTCGTCCAGCTGAGCGGGTTCGTCATGTCGACCTGGAACGCCGCCGACATGGAGGCCGCCGCTCGCGAGAACCGCACTGTGCGTCCCCCTCGCACGCTCCTCGCCGTCACAGACTCGGTCCTGACCCTGTATGGTGCCGCCCACAGGTCCCGCCGCAGTACCTCAACCTCCAGGACGCCTTCGTCCACCCGATGCCGCCTCATCCTCGAGGCCCCAAGACGCCGACCCAGTTCCAGTTCTGCCTCAACAGCGCCGGCCAGAACCGCATCCTCTTCTGCGCGCCGAGCCTTCAATCCCTGTCGGTGCGTCGCCTCGTCCTTCGCCGGCCTCGAGCACTCGTTCCGGCGACTAACTTACGCCCTCGCCTGCGCGCAGATGTGGATCAACGCCATCCGCCTGTCGTTCTGGGAGCGATCTCGGTGCAACGAGATCTGGACGGGCTCGCTCCTCGGCGTGCGCGAGCCTCGCCCCCTCGGGTGGCAGGGCTACGACGTCGGCCTGCCCGCGCCGCACAGCGCCGGCTCGAGCGCCGACGGCGGCGGGCGCAAGGCGAGCGCCGCGTCCGGTCGGTTCGAGGGCTGGCTCAAGGCCCGCCTGCCCGGCGACACCGAGTGGCGCCGGGTGTGGGTCGTCGTCGTGCGAGGGTCGAGCGTCCCGTCGCGCGCGAGCGTCATCGGCGGCCCGGCCGCGGTGGCGCCCGCCGAGGAGAAGAAGAGCCGCAGGACGAGCCTGTTGAGCTTCGGCAAGAAGGACAAGAAGGCGGACGAGGTCGCCGTCGAGGACCTGCCCGGCGGCGGCGCCGTCAGCACGCTCGCGTTCTACGACCGCAAGCCGGGCAAGAAGGAGCAGCCGCTCTGCGTCGCGCAGCACATCTACTACGGCGCGTCCCCCTCTCTCTCTCTCTCAGCCATTCCGGCGCCGAGCTCACCCGTCCGCCGTCGTCGTTCGCAGCCGCCGCCATCTACCCCGACCACGACGCCCTCCTCGAGAGCTCGACCCTGTTCAAGGTCGAGGGCACGTTCCTCAGCAGCGCCGAGGGCTGGGTCGCGACGGGCTACGGCGTCGGTGGGCGGGCCGAGAAGCAGGGCTACGCCTACATGATGCTCGAGGAGGGCAGCTGCGTCGACATGCTTCACTGGATCGTCGGCGTCGCCGACGCGTTCAAGGTGCGCCCTGCCTCTCTCTCTCTCTCTCTATCCCCCCCTTCTACTCTCCTTTGTCTGCCCGAGCTAACGTCGACGACCCATGCAGCTCTACGGCCGACCGCGCAACTTCTCGTTCGACCCCCGCGACCCGAACTCGCTCTACTTCGCCCTGCCGATCGGGCCGCACCGCGACAGGCAGTTCCTCGACCGCGAGCGTGCGTCCCTCTCTTTCCCTTTCTTCGTGTCGCTCGGTCGTTGGGCGAGAGCCCCGTCATTGACGCCGTCCTCACGCAGTTGTCGACAACCTCAGCATCAACGAGAGCCGCCCTCGAGCGATCCGCGCAACCTTCCACAGTACGCCCTTGTCCTCTTTCGCCTCCTCGAGGGCGCACCTGACGTCCTGCTCTCGCCGCAGACATCCTGTTCGACCGCATGCGCGGCGTGCGCCCGGCCTCGCTCGCCGGCCCGCCGCCTCTTCAAGACGGCCGCAGCGCGCCCTCGTCCGGCGCCGGCACGCCCACCTCGCCTGTCGACCCGAACGACGTGCCTCGGCGGTGGAGCCAGCAGCAGCAGCAGCCGGCGCAGCAGGGCGGCCGCAGCGACAACTCGCCGCAGCTGCCGCCCATCCTGCCGACCATCGGCGAGGGCTCGCTCGTCGACGACCGCCGGTCGCCGCTTGTCGAGCCGCAGGCGCTCACGAGCGATCGCCCGTCGTCGTCGTTCGCGGCCGCGACGCCGATCGAGCCGCAGGGCGTCGACGCGCGCCGCATGAGCCTGCACCGCCAGAGCACGGCCGACCGGCGCATGAGCTCGTACGGCGCGATCGAGGAGGCGCCCGTGTACCAGTCGCCGTCGCCGTCGCAGCAGCAGACGCCGTCGCCGCAGCCGATCCAGGAGCAGTCGGCGCCGGCGCCCGACGAGCAGCAGCGCCAGCAGCAGGCGCAGCCGCCGGCCCAAGCCCAGGCCCAGGCGCAGCCGGCGCACGACTACCTCGGCCTGCGTGGCCCGAGCCACGGCGCGAGCGCCGAGAACGACATGTCGACCTACGCCGCCTCCCTCTCGTCCGACATCGCCTGCGAGCGCACGCCGCCGCCGGCCCCTACCTCGGCACCTCGCCAGCAGCAGCAGCAGCAGTACCAGCAGCAGCAGCAGCCTCGCGACGGCCCGAGCCGTCTCGTCGCCCCGATCGACACGGCCGCCGAGGCCCGTGCGTCGTCGTCGAACGGCTCGACGCCGCTCCACCAGCTGTCGACGGCGGCCGCCATCGAGAACGGGCAGCAGCTGCACACGCCGCACTCGGCGAGCGACCGGTCGCTCAAGACGCACCTGAGCTACGCGCCGCCGGCCCAGTCGACCAACTCGCACGCCGACTACGAGCAGCTCGCCCGCTCGCCCGTCGAGCAGCAGCAGCACCAGCAGCAGCACCTGTCGCCGCTGTACCCGCCCGAGTCGGCGCCGCTGCCCTCGCCTGGTGCGGGCTCGTCGCTCGCCATGGCGAACCCGCCCTCACCCGGCTTGGCGTACCTCGACGCGTCGCCCGCCGCCTCGCCCGTCGCTCAGCAGCACGAGTTCCAGCAGCAGCAGCAGCGTCCGCCTCGTGACGCCGAGCCCTTCTCGGCTCCCGCACCGCCCATCCCGCTCGTCGTGCGCAACGCCGACGAGCCATCGTCGGCGCCGCCTCGCGGCTCGGTCGACGGCGACGCGACTCGCTCGGACGTCTCGGCCAACACGCGCAACAGCCAGGTCCACAACGGCCACGTCGTCGACAGCCCCGAGCACGTCAACCTCGACTCGCCGCGCGACCCGACGTTCGCGACGCAACCGCTGTTCGCGGCCTCGCCTCGGCCTAGCCAGGTCGGCACCGAGCCGGAGCAGCGCACGAGCGAGGCGCAGCCCCAGTTCGTGGACGCGCCGGTCGAGCAGACTCGTCTGCAAGGGTCGCCTCGCCCGGACCTCCAGATCGACACCGAGCAGCGCCGCCGCCAGCAGCAGCAGCAGCAGCAGCAGCAGCAGAAGACGAGCTACGACCTCCCCGAGGAGTACAACATCCACTCGGACCTTCTCGCCGCGCTCGACTACGTCGACAACCCCGAGTCGCCCACGCCGGCGACGCCGCACACCATGTCGTCGGTCGGCCCGTCGCCCGCCATGGCGGCGCGTCCCGCGTTCCACGTCGGCCCGCCAAAGCGTGGCATGTTCGCGCGCGAGGCGTCGCCGAGCGACGAGCACTACGGGTCGGACAGCGTCAACCCGCTCCCGCCCGTCGCCGAGGCGCCCAAGGCCGAGGCGGCTCCCGCACTCGCACCATCTGTACCGCAGCCTGCCCCTGCCAGGGCGCCTGTGTCGGCGACGTCGCCGGCCCAGCAGACGTCGTTCCCGTCGTCGTTCGCCAACAACAAGCGCGAGGAGCGTGCGGCGGCTGCCCAGCTCGCGCAGCAGGCGCAGCAGCAGGCCCTGACGCGGCCGGGCCGGACCCCGGGCGCCAAGCCGGCTAAGAAGAAGGCGTGGGAGGACAGCGACGAGGAGGAGGACGAGGTCGTCGAGGACGACTCGAGCGAGGACGAGGCGCCGCCGGCTCGTGTGCAGCACTCGGCCTCGTCGGGCTCGCTGGCGCCGAGTCCGGCCAACGCGAGCCGGGCCACGTCGCCCATCGGCCCGTCCGCCTCGCGAGAGCGCCACGCCCAGGCGCGGCACCAGTACAACAACTCGCCGCAGCGCACGCCCGGCGTCGACCCGGCCGCACGCCAGTCGTACCTCGACCACGGCCCGGGCTACGCCAACTACCCTGGCGGCAGCGGCAACATGTCTGCGTCGCCGAGCCGGCCCGAGTTTGGCGCCGACGTTCACGGGCAGCAGCAGCAGCACCTCGTCGACGGTCAGCCGACGCGCAAGCCCGCCCTCAACCCGCACGGCCTCCTCGCGACGGGCATCATCGAGAAGGAGGAGCGCTCGGCCCGGGCGCAGGAGAGCGCCGCGCGCGACACGGGCGGCACGCTCGTCAGCCTGCCGCACAAGGCGCCGCCGCCGCAGACGGGCCTCGTCGGCGCCCTCACGTCGCACCAACGCGAGAAGGAGCGCAGCGGCGGCGTCGGGCGTGCGCTCACCGAGCAGCAGCGCGAGCGCAAGCTCGCCGAGCAGCGCCAGAAGCAGCTCGACGAGCTCCAGAAGCAGCAGCTCGCCCTCATGCAGCAGCAGATGCAGATGGCGCAGTTCGGCGCCGGCCCAGGCGCGAGCCCGTACGGCCAGATGGGCCAGATGGGCTCGATGGGCTCGATGCAGTCGCTCGGCGGCTACGGCGGCGGCGGGAGCAACCCGTGGATGATGGGCGCCGGCGGCATGGGCATGATGCCGCCGATGGGCATGGGCGGCGGGTTCGGCGCGTTCCCGCAGATGGGCGGCGGGCAGTCGCACATGGGCGGCTCGCCGCAGCTCCAGCCGCAGCAGACGGGCGAGGGCGTCAACCAGGTGCGTCCGCCTCTCTCCCCCTCTTCTCCTCCCCCTTGTCCTCACCTCCCGCGCCCTGACTCTGACTCTTCTCGTTCTGCGTATCTAGCAGCAGCAGGCGTTCCAGCAGCAGCAGGCCATGATGGCTGCCCAGCACGCCGCTCAGCAAGCCGCTCAGCAAGCCGCCCAGCAGGCCTACCTCGCCGCCATGTCGCAGTTCCAGGGCGCCTCGTCGCCCAACGGCGGCGTCTCGCCTTCGCTCCCGCCCACCTCGTTCGCCTCGATGCCGTCGATGCAGTTCATGCCGTCGCCGTACGGCTACCCGACGTCGCCGTCGATGGGCGGCGGCTTTGGCGGCTTCGCGCCCGGCCATGGCCAGCAGCCCAGCATGTACGCCCCGAGCGGCTTCACGGGCATGAACAACATGCAGGTCCCGGGCGCAGGGGCGGGCGGCGAGGACGCGCCGGCGAGGGCGATGAGCCCGTTGGACCTCAAGGGCGGGCAGCAGCAGCAGCGGCGGGACGCGAGCGAGTAGAGGGAGGAGGGTCGCAGCTATCGTCGGCGTTTTCTGAGTATCTCAAACGTGCAAGGACACTCTCTTAATGTTGCTCGAGCCCATTTCTCGTGCCGAGAGAAGGTCATGCGAGGAGGAGGAGCGACTTGAGAAGGTCGGCTTTCAGCGTGTTCTCGCCGCTTTCTCGTGCAACATGGCTTGCGACAGGCGAGACGCAGCGAAGGCTAGATGTCAGACAGAGACCTTTATGACAGAGGACGCTTCAACCTCGACCGGCCTTCCTCACCGGCGACGTCCCGACAAACTCTGCCTCGTCCTCGTCGATGCGCGCACCCTCCTCCCTGACCTTGATCTTCTCGTAGCTCGTCCGCTTGTGGCGCCTCGTCGGTGCGACGTACGCCGACGGCAGGATAGGTGGGACGGGCTCGCCGTCGCCGCCGTCGACCGCGATTCGGCGTGCCCGGCTGAAGCAATCCTGCGCGTGCTCGCCGCAGCTAAAGACGACGGCGACGGCGAGCGCGAAGCAGACGATGCTGAGCGCGGCGCAGGTGGCGCCGAGGAGCGTCCAGCCGGGGCGAGGTCTGCGAGATTGTCGAGGAGAGGGGCGAAGAGAGGAGGTCAGTGCGCATGAACGAGGACAGGCGGCGAGGCAGGCGGACAGCGCGACACACGTGCACTCTCTCGACGGGAACGAGTCCTCGGGCGAGACGACCATGCCTGGCTCCGAGTACGACACCCTGCCCTCGTCGTCGCGCAGCCGCACGACAAACTCGTCGCCGACTTCTGCGCCGCGCGTGTCCCACGTCGCGACCTCGCCCGGCGCGACGTCGCCCCAGTCGCCGAGGTAGTGCAGGACCTCGTACGCCGACTCGTTGAGCGGGAGAGGGAACCGCAGGACGTCGAGCGAAAGTGGTGCCGCCGACCCGAAGAAGAGGAGCTGGAACTTTTCGCACTCGAACGCCGAGTCGGACTTGTACGCGTAGCCGTTGCGCTCGAACCAGACGCTGAGGAGGTCCTCGCCGTCGAGCGACATCTGGGTCGAGAACGGCGGCGCGTTGTTGCCGGCGGCGACGCCGGCGAGGGTCCAAGCGCTCACGACGAGCGCGGCGATTCGAAGAGGGAGCGCTCGGCGGGTCGGCATGGTGTACCAGCAGACTCGTGTAGAGAGTGCTCGTGCGGAGGAAGAAGAGAGAGAGCGAGAGAAGACGAGATGCAAGCTGGCGCAGCAAGCGGGAGGAGCGGGAGAGAGGGGGCTGGTTGACCTCGTCCCGCTCACGACCAGGACCGGCGCATGCTTCTTGCGTGCTCGTCGGGACGCACCACACATAGAGAAGACTGTGCACACATTGCAAGCCCGCCTCGACGAGAGGCCCCGCCGCTCACAAGTCACAACTCGTCACGCGGGTCCGTGCGCTCGTCGCCCTCCCCTCCAGCTGCACCCTCCTGCTCGCCCTCCTCCGCCTCGTACCGCCTCGCGAACCGAGCACGAAGCCGCTCGTGCGCCTCGCTGCCGAGGATCGCCTCGGGCGGGACGCGCACCGTGCGCTTCTCCTTGCTGAAGCCCTCGAGGTACTTGTGCAACCCGGGGTGCATCGGCGGCGCAGGCTTGGCGGCGCGCTCGGCGTCAGACGAGGGAGGGTTGGTCGCACGGCGGATGACGTCGAGGAGGGAGGCGATAGGGTCGGGCGCGGCGGCGGCGGGAGGAGCGGCGTCGCCGGGCGGTGCGGGCGGGCGCTGCTCGTTGGCGGGGTGAGCGTGCGCACGAAGCGCCTCGGCGAGTGTATCGTGCATCTGTGCGGGTTGAGCGGGTCAGGAAAGGCCGCGAGAGAGCGAGATCGAGGGGAAGAGGGTGGACGCACGAGCTTGGCGAGGTTCTCGAGCGACTCCTCGGTCGTCTTCTCCCGCCCCACCGGCGCATCGTCGTCGCTGTGACGATCGTCCTTCTCGACGCCGTCAGACCCGTCCTCGCCGTCGGCACCGCCGATCGCCGCCTGGACCATGTCGGCAAAGAGCTGCTTCTTGAGGTCGCTGTCGACAAAGACGTCCTCGCCGAGGTCGCTCACGATCGACTCGATCTCGCCGCTGTCTGGGTCGTACACGAGCGTGAGGGTGCCCTCGGTGTCGAGGAGCTCGTCGAGGGTCGTCTGCAGGTCGACGCGCGGGACGTCGTGCTCGAGGTCGAGGTCGTCGTCGTCGACGGCGCCGGCTGCTGTCGAAGCATGGTGCGGCGGTTGATCGACAGGTACTGGCGAGACGGGCGCAGGCGCGACAGCTGCCGGCGCCGGCTGCTCGGGAAGCTGCTCTTGCAGACGCCGGACGACAGGCTGGCACTCGATCGTCGCGGCGGGCTCTTGGTTTTTGTCGTGGCCCTCGAGGAAGAGCGGGTCGCCGCACAGGCGAGGTGTATGGACGAGCATGACGTAGCGGCAGACTGTGGGTAAGACGCGAGGTCAGGGCTGTAACGCTCGAGGAGGTTTAGCGAGAAGGGGGACGCACTTGACGTCTCGCGGATGTGGGCGATGCGGTCGATCGTCTGCGTGTTGCAGTGGTACTGCGAAGCAGGTCGAGAGGGTCAGGACGAGCGCGAAAGAGGAAGAGAGGGAAGAGAGAAGGGGGCGCACCTGCACCTCGACCTCGCGCGGCAAGCCCGTCTTGTCACAGATGGTCCCGCTGTCCCAGACCTGCGACAGGTAGCGGCCGCCCTCGTCCCAGCCGAGGCCGTCGCCGCCGCCGAGCGTGGTCGGCACCTGGAGCTCGACCGAATGCCGGCCCGAGCCGTACTTGGGCTCGGGGCTGAAAGACGGCTCGGGCATCATGCCGAGCGTGTAGGCGTCGGCGTCCGGGTCCTCCTTGGGCCCGTTGGTGCCCGGGACGCGCATGTCGTAGGCGTGGAACTGGCGGATCTCGTTGCCGTAGCTGTGCGAGGCGAGGGTTAGCGGTGGACCGACGGGGCGAGGCGAGGGAGAGAGAGAGGGGGGCGCACCAGAAGCTGTAGGTGAACCAGCCCTCGCGAAGATAGAGGCAGCCCTGGCGCATGGGCTCGAGGAGGGCGAGGCCGTGCTGGACGCCGCGCTCGCGCTCTCGTGCGCGGACGAGGGCGTCGTGGTCGGCGCGAGCACCGGCCTGCTTCTTGGTCTCGCCGGTTGCGGCGGGGACGGTGCAGAGGAAGGCTTGGCCGCTCGGGGTGCGGAGGAGGTGGCGCTTGAGCGGGTACGGGTGCGAGGAGGCCTGCGTGCGGCGGCGGCGATGTGGGGAGGAGGGGGAGGAGGCGAGGTCAGCTCTCAGCGCCTGGGCGGCGGGACTGGGAGGGGGGAGTGCAGGTGGCGCACCTCGACGTCTTGAGCAAGCAGGTCGGCGATAGTGTCGTTGAGGATGCCGTGCTCCGCGAGGGAGACAGCGTAGGCCGGGAGGGCCTCGAGGTCTCTCGGCGAGTGCGACGACAGGGCGAGGGTCTGGCGCACGATGGCGAGGGCTAGCAGGAGCCTGGCCGTGCCGAGCATGGTGGCGGGCGGCGTATGTACAGAGAGAGCCAGCAGCTGCTCGTCGCGTGTCGGGGCTCGCCGTCCTCTCGCTCGCGCCAACTCGCTCGACTGGGTCCAAGCTGTCTTTGGGCGACTCGGTCGTGCTCGCTTGCCCTGCCCGGTTTTGCAGCTGCGCCCCGCGGGCCGTGCAGCCGCAGATCCCTCATCTTGGTCCTCCTCCTGTCCTCCTTCTGCTGCCTGCACTCGGCCGACGGGCCCTCCCACGCTCGCGGACGAGCCCAGACTCGGCCTGCTCAAGCTTGAGCCGTGCCGGCGGTGTCCGCGCTCCTGTCCGCCTCATTTCCGCACTGCTTCTCGGACCATCCGCGGACGACGCTCGTCGAGAAGCTACGGTCAGACCGACGACGCGGCGCTTTCAGCTAGCTTCAACCTCCAAGCTGCGGTCTGCCCGTCGCAGCATGCCGCGCACATCCTCTCGTGACCTCTCGTTTCCCCTGGTCGTCGTCCTCACGCCCTCGCGCGCTCACTTCTCGCGTCTCTGCAGGGCCTTCCTCTTCGCACGCCGACCACGATGTGCCCGCAGCTCGACACGGTCGGCACGACGATGCTCCCGACGGCCACCCGTCGAGCGAGGACGGCGACTTCTCGCCTCGCACGCGCGCGCTGCGGGAACATTTCGCCGAGCAGGGCTACAGGGGCCACGAGGCGGGACGGTGGGACGCGAGCGACAGCTCGGAGGACGAGCGTCGACGAGCGAGATGGGCAGGAGGCTCGGTGCGTGCGACGAACGGAGAGACTGTCGGGAGGAACCGTGCGTCCCCTCTCCCTTGACCTTCCCTCCCTCCTCGCTTCAAGCCGAGCTGACTCTTTTCCATACACCGTCGACAGGGCGCCCTCCTGCTACCGCAGGGCAGCAACGCCTCGCCCAGCTCCGGTTCCGCAGGCGCGATGCCATGGTCGGCGACCAAGGTGAGCCGTCCTCGCCTCCTCGCGCTCGACACGACGACCCTCGCGACCTCGCCTTCCTGCCGAGCGACGCGGTCGAGATGGAGGAGCCTCTCCCGCCGTACGAACGCGGCTCTCGTGCAACGACGCCGACCTCGCCGTGCCCGTCCTACGCGTCGGACGTCCCGCCGTACTCGCCGGGCTCGGGCAGGTGGGCGCACAGGCAGGTCGCCCGCTCAAACTCTTCACTGAGCGACCGGGGCTCGGACGAGCGTCCCGGCTTTGGCGAGGCGACAGGGAGCCCTCGGGCGAGGAGGAACGGTGCGTCCAACTCTCTCCCTTCGCGTCCGAGTTTGCGCCCGTACTCAAGCTCCTCTGCGCCCGCAGATACGTCGCAGCGGTCACTCTCTCGCCTTGTCGTGACTCGTCGCGCTCTCTCGAGCCCTTTCGCGCCTGCAGCGAGGTGGTGAGAGGACGTTTGTCGGCAGCTTGACCAGGATCTGAAATGACCTCTCTTCTTTCGCGATAGCTGAGAGGCGAGAGGTCGAGCATGCAGGCGTGTGCTCGCCCTCAGAGCGAGGTAAGCTCGCTCGAAAAGCTGTCAGCCGGGCTTCCAGAGTCCGCTCGGACCCTCGCCATGACGCAGAAAAGCGCCGACTTTCGCAGCTCTCCTCGCGACGTCTCTCGCCTCTCGCACCAGAGTTGTCGTGCTACGCTGTATTGCGCGCCGAATCACTCCTCCTCGGGCTTCTGCAAGTCGCTCATGCGGGTTCCGGCCACCTCGAGCCCGACGAGCTCGAGCTTGTCGATGCGCGACACGTCCTCGCCGCCCTGGTTGTCGACGACAAAGACCTGCACAAAGGGCGTAGAGAGAGAGAGGTCAGGCCGTCGTCGACAGGAAAGGGAGAGAAGAGGGAGACGCACACTCAGGTGGGTGACGCTCTGGAAGCGCACAAAGCGCAGCTCGACCGACTTGTTGCCCTTGGCCTGCTCCTCGTCGAGGACGACCTCCTGCGCCGGCTCGGCCGACGTGTCAAAGTCGGTCGACGGCGCGTTGACAAAGAGGCGGACCGTCTTGGGGGCGTGGGCGAGGTGAGAGGGGAGGGTCGTGAAGCGGAGGGCGCGGAGCTTGATCGCCTGTTGCAGCTGCACGCTCGAGGAGAGAGAGTCAGTTTCAGGACCCTGTCCGGCTCGACTCGCTGACCGGGGCGAGAGGATCGACAGAGCGACGGACCGGGATCTGGAGCAGGAGCTGCTCGTCGGCGTCCGACTCGAGCCACTTGTCGCCGCCGCCGCGCAGCAAGCCCTTGAGCGTGTGCTCCGCCGACTCGTTCAAGCAGTGCACCTGGCTCTGGTCGACCTGCGAGTTGAGCGAGGTCTGCGGGATGAGAGAGTCAGTTCGAGGAACTCGTCTGCGGAGGAGAAGGGACGAGGGAGGGGGGGCGGGACGCACGAAGCCCTCGAGGCCCTTCTCCTGCGGCGCCTGCGGTCCACTCGACGACGCCGATGCGCTAGTCGGCGCGTGCTTCTTGACGAGCTGCATGAGCCCGGCCGGGTTGGCGCCCTTCATCTGCTCGAGATGGTCGGTCAACTCGGTGGTGGGAGGTAGGGAGTAGAGGAGAGAGAGAGCGAGCGCACCTCATCCACCTTGTTCGAGCCCTTGAGCACCACAAAGGTCGGCATGGCGCTGACCGAGAAGCGCTGAGCGACGGCCGGCACCTGGTCGACGTCGACCTTGAGGAACTGGACCGCCGGAAACTGGGACGCCAGGCGCTGATAGACGGGCGCGATCGCCTTGCACGGACCACACCATCTGCGCGCCAGGCAGCAGGCCTTAGTTTCCAGTGAGGTTGGGAGGGGGCGGTCATGATGATGATGAGGAGGATTCGAGCGGCTTACACGGCGTGGAAGTCGATGATGGACACGCGCGACGCGTCCGAGGTGAGCGAGTCGAGCTGTGCGGCAGAACTGACGACCGTGATGGACATGGCGAGCGAAGTGAGTGAGGAAGGGAGGAGTGCGCAGTGCACCGCCTTGCGACAGAGGTCGAGGTGGGGGCGACGCCAGAGCTCGCCTCGCTCGCTGGACAGGGCTTTCTGTCGCTCGCTTTGGACCGCTGGGTAGCATAGATAAAGGCTCACGTTGCACGCAAGTAGAGAAACAACAACACGCCGTCGCCCCTCGCCCCCTCAGGCTGCCCTCGTCTTCTCTACCTCGTCCGACCGCCCCGCCCTCACGCGTTCGCCACGAGCAGCACGACGCACGTCGTAAAGATGAGCACGGTGACCCCCACGAGCGCAGCATCGGTCGACCTGCCGGCGTAGACGAACGCGCGGCGGTGCTCGTACCCGGACGAGGTGCTGTAGAAGGTAAACGTCCCGGCTGCGAGCGTGACGAGGCATGCGACGAAGAAGAGGACGCCGAGCTGCGAGTGTCGGTACGAGTGGACGACGCGTATGTCGGCGTCAAGGTCGCAGGAGACAGAGGCAGGGGAGGGTAGGCGAGGAACGACGGCGCGAGGAGAAGGGAGGGGGCAGAGGGGAGGACGGAAGTCAGCTTGGTGCTCGGCAGGACAGGAGGCGGCGGCAGGGACTTACAGGGGTCTGCGCGTATCGCTCAAACTGCGGCATCGACACCTGCTCGCCGAACTGGAACCGTATGAGCAACGACGCGGACACGAGCGCGAGGATTGTCGCCGTCTTGATCATGGAGAGAAAGTTGCGCTCGCGAGCTGCGCGCACTTGGAGAGAGTCAGGGTCATGCTCGCCGATAGACTAGAGCGCGAGGGCGGACCGCAGTAGTCGCGAGCTGCGTGCGACGAGAGGTGGGGGTGAGCCGGCGGTGGAGGAGGGGGAGAAGGACGCGGACGAGAGTCACGAGTGGTGCGCACCTGTCGAGCCATTGTTGGGCACCAGCACGCTGCCCCACAGCTTCTGCGCCGGTTCTCTCGCGCGTTCAGGGTCGAGGCGGTCGGCGGCGGACGACGGGAAGCTTGGCGGCGCCGCAGCGTGGTGGGCGGCCGGCTGGTCCTGCGCCGGAGCTGACATGGCGCCAGGCAGCCTTGCGATGCACGCGCAGCAGAGGCACGGCGACGAGGAGCGCTGGTGCGGAGCGAGACGAGGGGCTCCTCCTCCTCCTCGCTTTCGAACGACGCAGACTGTGACAGAGGCGACGCGGGCGAGTTGCATTCGGGAACGGCTTTTGTACATCTTCAAGAGTCTACTGCAGCTCGAGCAACGCCCGCAGAGCCAACTTTGCCCGCTCGACTCCCTCCTCCCCGAGCGCCTCGAGCCAAATCCCTCTCGCCTCGGCGTCGCCCGCCTTGTCCGCCTTGGCCACCTCGAGCCCGACATCGCCCGCCTCGAGCTCGCGCTCGCTGAAGTGCGCGCCGGCCGCCCGCAGCGCCTTGACGATGGCGAGCGCGTCGGGACCGCGGTGACGGGCGGCGTAGAAGAGGGGCGAGCGGCCGTTGGCGTCGCGCAAGTGGACCGACGCGCCCGAGGCGAGGAGGAGCTCGACGTTGGGGAGGACGCCGGCGAGAGTGGCGAGATGTAGAGGGGTCTGGAAGGTGGTCGAGGCCGGCTCGTTGAGGAGCGAGGGGAGCGCGAGCGACGACAGGCTCGCCGACGTGCTCGAGGCGGTCGGCGGCGAGGCGGCCGAGGCGAGGAGCGACTGCAGGAGCTCGCCCGGCTTGGTGGCGGCCTGGGCGAGGAGGTGCGGCAGGACGGCGGCTCGGAGCGTCTCCTCGTCGGCGAGCGTCGACGGCCACGACGCCGAGAACTCTTGCGGGAGCACCGGCGCGTCGCTCGCCTCGTACGCCGCCGACGAGGCTCGTCGAGGACGCTGCGGCGAGGGGGCGCACTCGACGAGCTGCGAGAAGAGGGTGCGTAGGCGAGTCTCGGGGTTTGCCGGATTCGAGTACGTCGGGACCGGCGCGAGCGGCGTGAGCTCGCCTCGAAGAGGCTGGGCGATGAGCGCGCGCACTTGCGCAGGCGACAGGTCGGGCTTGGACAGGAGGTACGACAGCTTGGCGAGGGCGCACTCGGTCGTCATGTCGGCGCCGGGGACGACGCCGGCCGCCGCGAGCGCTCGCCCGGTCGCGTAGATGGCGGCGACGGCGCCCTTGGCGCACTGCGTCACGTTGACGATGACGACACCACGCTCGGTCGCCTCGCGGAAGGCGGCGAGCAGCTCGGGACGCTTGGGCGCGTTGCCGGCGCCGTACGACTCGAGGACGACGCCGCGAACGCTCTCATGGCTAACGTACTAAGCTCTCATGTTTCACGTACTAAGCTCTCATGTTTGAACAATAAAATTAATATAAATCAGCGAGTCAGTCCATGTACGAGGGGAGAGAGAAGGGCGAGGACAGCGACGCACCGACGTCCGAGCAGAGCTGCTTGTGCGCGTGGAAAGGGCGAGGTCCAGGACGAAGCACTTGGGGCCAGGCGACCTCTGCGAGCGAGCGAGAAAGAGTGTAAGTCCTGCGCGAACTCGCTCGCCGAGAGGGAGGGAGAGAGGCTCGAGCGCACCGATGTCGATGCCGACCGTGGCGAGCGCCGGCAAGTTGGCGCTCTGGAACGCGTGAAAGTCCTCGGACGACGCCTTGATGGTGCGGTTGCCTCGGTAGGCGGCATTGTCGAACACGAGAACGACCTCGGGAATCGAGTAGTGCCCGGCGATGGCGAGCGAGGCGAGGAGGTTGTCGGTCGCGTCGGTGAAGAGCTGGCTGAGCGGGATCTGCGCGCCCGTGAGGATGACGGTCTTGCTGCGGTATAGATACAGAGTCAGGTTCGGAGCTCGAGAGGGCGACAGTCGAGGTCTGAGCGCACCCGAGGTCTTCCTGCGAGGCGCTTCGAGAGCGAGTCAGTGAGGGCGCTCGACGAGGGCGCGACGAGGACGAGAAAAAGGCGACGGACCAAGAGGAACGACAGTGCCGACGCGGTAAAGGCGAGCGTGTCGGTGCCGTGCAGGACGAGGAAGCCGTCCCAGGCCGTGTAGTTGCGCTCGATGTCCTCGGCGATGCGGATCCAGTCGGCCGGCTCAATCTCGCTCGAGTCGATCAGGTGCTCGTACTCCCACACGACGTAGCGCACGCGCTTGCCCTGGGCGAAGCGGGGCGTCACGAGCGACGGCAGGTAGGCCGGGCCCGTCGACGTCTCGACGCGCAGGTCGTCCTCGGCCGGGAGCGGGGCGAGGGCGGGCGTGGACGCGCCGCTGTCGGACCGCGATGCCGACCATTGCGCGAACGCTCTGACGGACGAGCTGTTGGCGAAGACCGAGGTGGATGCCGGATCGTGGAACCTGCGGACGAGCGCCGCGCCGAGCGAGAACGAGGGGGTCAATGCGCGGATCGAGGGAGCGAGGGCGCCTCGCCGCGAAACAGGCTCCTCAACGAACCTTGCCTGCGAGCGAAGGCTGTCGGAACCATCACGGCCGGATGGAGGATGGCGAGCCGGACGAGGAGAACAAAGTGATCGAGGAAGGGCGAGAGGGAGGGGGAAATCGGCCGAGGTCAGGAATGCGGTTCTCCGCCAACGGTCCTCCGACTCGCACGCACAGCTCTGCGCTCGCTCTCGCGAGGGCTTGGGCCGGCGTACGACCGGGATAGAGACGAGGAGAGAGGAGGAGAACTGTGGACGCACTTGCTCGCGAGGAAGCCCGGGTGCGGCGCGTACCCTCCCTTCTCCGTCTTGAGCATGCCTATCGTGCCGCTGTGCGAGGCGCATGGACGCCGAGGAGGACGGCAGATCGAGAGGGAGCGGGGTACCGGCGCCGGAAGAGGGAGGAGGGAGCAAGACGGTCAGGACTGCAAGGGCTCCGGTGGACGACGAAGCGGGCACAATGGACGCGGACGCACCCAGTGTAGAGCACGAGCACCCGTGCCTCGGTCTCCTCGGCCATGCTCGCTCTCATGTTTCACGTACTAAGCTCTCATGTTTAACGTACTAAGCTCTCATGTTTAACGAACTAAACCCTCATGGCGTGTGGGCGCGCCAAGCGGGTGTAGTGCCGTGCGGGCGAGTAGCAGGCGTAGCTCGCGAGCGGTAGAGCGGCAGGCGAGAGCTGTGGACAGAGCGAGGCCAGCACTGTGACGACGACGACGACGACGACGAAGCTCTCTTGCTCGCTCTCCTCCCGCCCGCTCAACTCGCTCCTGAACTGCCCAGGCGCAGCTCGATGGCTACGAGCAGCCGACAGGCCCTTGCCTTGGTCCATGCGACCTCTCCCCCGCGCTCGCCCAGCAGATCGACCGCGGCCTGGCTCCCTCCTCAATCTCCGCCGGTCGTCCGGGGGGCGGCCACCGCTCCCGAGCACCCCCTGGCCAGCGCTCGCTGGGGCGCAGGCTGCCACGCACGGCTGCGATGCACCTGTAACGCTCCTCGATGGACCGCAGCAGCGCGAGCGTCCTCACGCTGCCGCAAGCGGCCGCAAGCTTCGGCCGACCACCCCGGCGAAGGAGCCGGTCGTTCCCAGGCGGCTCAGCCAAGGGTTGCTCGGCTCCGCTTGCGCGTGGCATGGTGCTGCAGTTCACAGTGATCGAATCGATCGGTGCTGCACCTCCGTCCCAACGCGGCCGTCACATCTTTCGGGGCTCGTCCGCTCGTCCGGCCGCTTTCCCAGGCTCGCGCTTCTATCGCCCTCGCGCTCGTCCTCGCCGTCTCTCTCTCTCTCTCTCCTCCTTCATCCTTCATTCCTGCTCGCCGTCCTCCCTCTTTTCCGTCCTTCCCAAGCCCCCACTCTTCGACCCCGTACCTCCTCCCCTCACCTCGAGCCGACCATCATCACCATGCGCTCCGTCCTCGCCCTCGCCTCGCTCGTCTCGCTCTCGTCGGTCGCCCTCGCCCAGACCGGCTACGGTCGCTTCCCGTGCAACATCTTCAACGGCGACGGCACGCTTTCGGCCGGTGCGTCCCCTGCCTCTTTCCTCCCCCTCTCGTCGAGCCCTCTCGAGCTGACGAACCCTGTCCTTCGTCCCGCTACAGACCCCAACCAGTGCCTCGACAGTCAGCTCATCCCTCCCGGCAGCGCCGACGACTCTGGCTTCCAGGGTGACGGCGCGACCCCGACCAACCCGGAGTGTGTCGCCTACGGCCCGAACGCCGGCTTCTTCTGCGGCATTGCCGGCGCCGCGTGCACGACCGACGACAACTGCGACAACGGCGTCTGCTCGGGCGGTGTCTGGTGCGTCGCTGCTCCCCCTCATCTCGCTCGATGTCGACGGGCGCGCACTGACCCTCGTTCCTCCTCACGCACGCAGCTCGGGCGGCCCCGGCACCGACTGCGACGCCGACTCGAGCTGTAGCGGATTCCTCTACTGTTCCGACCCTAGTGGCGAGAACATCCTCGGCACCTGCGGCGGCGACGGGACGTTCTGCAACGACCCGAGCACCGGCAACCCCGACGGCACCGCCGCCGAGAACTTCGACACCTACAACCAGTACTGCGCGAGCGGCTTCTGCTCGATCAACGACGGCGGCGTCTGCTCCAACTTCGTCACCCAGGTCGACGGCGACTGCTCGTTCGACCCCGAGTTTGTGCGTCCCCTCCCCAGTCACCTTGGTCTTTGTCGCGACGAGAGCGCGCTAACCACTCTTTCCTCTCCTCGACAGGCCTGCACGGTCGACTCGGACACCGGCGCCGCCCTCACCTGCGACGCGACGTCGCTCACGTGCCAGCTCGCGCCGCAGCCGACCGGCGCTCGCGCCCGCGCTCGCCGTGCTCGCGTCAACGGTGCCGCCCTCTTCAAGCGCCGTGCGTGCCCGCTCTCGCACACCGCCTGCGCCATCTCGGGCGCCAAGGGCTTCGAGTGCGTCGACACCCTGTCCAACCTCGAGCAGTGTACGTCCTCCCCTCTCTCTTTCTCTTTCGCGACCGGCCATCTCGGGCGAACAGCAGCTGATCGCTCCTTGTCCATCCTCGCAGGCGGTGCTTGCGCGACCGAGGGCGGCGTCGACTGCACCTCGCTCCCGGGCGTCGAGTCGGTCGGCTGCATGGCCGGTGTCTGTGCGTCTCGCTCTCGCTCTCCCTTGCCAAGTCGTCGGCGGTGACCTGACTCTCTTCCCTCCCGCTCTGCAGGCGAGATCTGGTCGTGCGCCGACGGCTACTCGTTCGACTCGGCCTCGTCGGCCTGCGTCGCGACCCTCGCCTAGATCCCTCCCCTCTCCCTCCTTTAGACACTACTACAGCACTCGCCTTCCTCGCCCTCGTTCTCTCTCCTCTCGTCCCTCGTCTCGTACTCGGCAGTATGCTCTCTGTGCCCGTCGTCGGTCTTGGCCCTGGTCGCCCTCGTCACCCTCCTTGTTTCTCTTTCCTCCCTTTCTCTCCTCGATGTAGCTATTGGCCCCCTTCGTTCACGCTCTACCCCTACACGTACGAACCGAACACGAACCTTGCGAACTCTGCAGCGTTTCTAGATCGTCGGTGAGGCGAGAGCTCAAAACTTGAGAAGGTCGATCAGGAAGACGAGGTCCGAACTCGCCGTCGTTCGACGACGAGCCTGTTCGGCGTGGTTGTGCACAGCGAAAGCTATGCGAGCCTGTTTGGCTCAGGCTTTCAAGCTCGCGGCTGCGGCTTGCGCAAGCTGATTCGGAGATTCGCCCGACGACGCGTCGCCGGCGCGCGCGACGGCGCGACGAGGTCGGCGGCCGCCCACTTGGCCTCTTCCTCATCCACCACTCGCCCCCCGAAGGAGCTCGCTTGCTGGCAGGCACTCCCACGCCCACACTCGGCACCCACCACACTCGTTTCCAGCCTCCCACCGTCGTCACTCGCTTGCTCTCCTCCCCCGCCCTTCCGCCTCGCCATGGTCGCCTCGTCCTTCGCCCTCCTCGGCACCCTCGCGCTCGTCGGCTCGGCCGCAGCCACCTACACGCCCGGCTCGACCACGATCAAGCTCCAGGCGCGCGACCTCGGGCTCAAGAACGGCGACGGCTCCGTCAACATTCCTGGCCTCCTCGCCGAGACGGAGCGCCTGTCCAGGTGCGTCAGCTCGACGGCGTCCCCTCTCAAGAGCGCGAACTGACTCGGCGTCCTGTCCCTCTGCAGGAAATTCGAGCGCGTGAGGCGACGCCCTCGCAGGTCGACTCGTCGAACGAGCTGACCCTCTCTCTCGCCGTGTCGCAGAACCGCATGAACCAGGTCTACTACGCGCAGACGATGAAGGACCCGGTCGCACGCCAGAAGCGTGGGACGATGCCTCTCAGCCTGCCCGACCCGGAAAACGCCGGTGCGCCCCTCCCTCCCCCTCGCCTCCTCGCCTTCTCGAGAACCTCGCTGACCCTGCGACCGCGCACACAGTCTGGACGGGCCGAGTCTCGGTCGGCTCGCCTGCGCAGACGTTCTCTATCTTCTTCGACTCGGGCTCGTCCGACTTTACGCTGGCCTCGACCGCGTGCACGACCTCGTGCGGGACCAAGAAGCGCTACGACACGGCCGCGAGCTCGTCGGCGGTCAAGACGACCAAGCAGGTCCGCACCAGCTTTGTCGACGGCACGTCGTCGATCGGCGTCGTCTACACCGACACGGTCACCGCCGGCGGCAGCACGGCGACGGGCCAGGACATTGTCGCGGCAACTTCGCTCTCGTCGACGGTCTCGGGACTCGCTTCAGACGGGTGCGTCTCCCTTCTCTCCCTCTCTGTCTCGATCCTTGCGCCCTGACTGACTCTCCTCATGTCCTGCAGCCTGTGCGTCGCTCTTCCTGTCCGCCTCGAACACGTCCTCGCACGGCCACTGACCCTTCGTCTTGCTCGCGCAGGATGGGCCTCTCTTACCCGTCGCTCTCGTCGGCCGGCTCGTCGTCGCTCATGTTCACCCTGGCGGCCCAAGGGCAGTACGTCACGAACCCGTACTTCTCGATCCGCCTCAGCTACACCGGCCGGAGCGAGATCACCTTTGGCGGCTCGAACAGGGCGCGCATCGCCGGCACGCCCCGGTGGTACAACGTCACGCCGGCCCCGAACGGCATCCGCACCTACTGGCAGATGGGCCTGTCGGCCCCCATGATCAGCGGCAAGCTCGCCGCTCCCGTCGCCACCCACATCCTCGACTCGGGCACGACGCTCATCATCGCGCCGCCGTCGGCCGCCGCCGCCTTCTGGTCCAACGTGCCCGGCGCCGAGTCGTACAGCGACGAGTTCTGGACCTACCCGTGCGCCTCGCCGCCCGACCTCGCCTTTGGCTTTGAGCGCGCGTACGCGACCAAGTGGGCCGTCGCCGAATCTTGTGCGTCCTCTGCCCTTCTCCCTCTCTTTCCCCTCGACGACTTGCCCTGACACCTCTTCTCGTCGCAGCGTTCAACCTTGGGTACCTGCAGGAGGCGCCCGACCGCTGCGTCGGCGCCGTCATTGGCTCGGACCTCGGCCTCGGCTCGTCCTGGCTCCTCGGCGACGCCTTTAGTGCGTCCTCGCTCGCCCCCTCTCTCCCCTCCATCGACCCTGTCGAGCGATCCACTGACACGTCGCCGATCCGCCAACTTCCCCCTCCCTCGAACCTCCTACCGCGCCGACCTCGGGCAGTGACTGTGAGGTTCTCCCCTCTCTCGCGCAGCTTGTCAACAGCTCACTGACCTCGCTCCCGCCCTGCGCAGAACGTGTACGTCATGCACGACGTCGTCGCCAACCGCATCGGCCTTTCGCTCGCTCGTTGAGCATCTCGCCCCTCGCCGTCACCCTCCTCACGACCTTCTCAAGTCACTCGTCCTCGACTGTCGGCGCGCCAAGTCGCTAGATCTGTAGACGGATAGAGCTATTTTGAGCACGATCCTTCTTCTGTCCTCGTCGTGTCTGCGTCCGCGACCGCGAGCTGCGAGAGAAGGAGAGCAATCGGATCTCCGGCTCTGCTCGTTCCACCGTGTCTCTCTCCTTCGCCTCGCGCGATGCCTGAAGGGGTGCAGGCTATGTCCAGTGTTCGCAGCGAGAGCAGAGAGCGGCGCCCACGACGACGAAGGAGCGGTTACTTTCGAGAAGCGAGCCCGCTCAGTTCGGGACGAGGACCGCGGGTCCGTGCACGAGTTGAGCGAACGGAGCTGCGCGTTCGCGCTCGATCCGTCGTTCTTGGCGACGATTGTACGTTCTCGGAGCCGCAGGAGGCAAATTTCATCTACAGGGAGCTCGCCGGAGCCGCGTTCTCGACTCGCGATCGGACCGGCTCGAGGTCGAGGCGAGGGGAAGGGGCGCTGTTGTTCGCGCTCTCCTCCGTCTCTCACACGCTCGCCACTGCTCTCGCGCTCGTACCGGTCGCCTCGCACAGCACCAGGGCCGTCTCGCCAGCCATGTACTCGCCTCCCGTCGCCGTGGTCCTCCTCGCCCTCGCCGCCTCGTCGCTCGAGTCGGTGAGCGCTCTCACCGCCGCATACCTCGCCGACGGCAACTACTACCAGTCGGGCTCGATCTCGAACACGTTCAGGTGGCAAGCTTCGGGTCCGCTCGCGGCAAACCGGTGCCCGCGGGCCATTGTCGGCCTGCGTTGGCCAGGGTCGTGTTACACCTCGTGCGTCCTCCTCTCGTCCTCTCGAGCCAGAGTTCCTGTGCACTGACATACTCTTCTGTGGCCCGCGCAGCTCTCTCGGGGCGACGGGCAACCTGCAGACCACGACGCAGCAGCAGTACCTCGCCGCCGTCGCCGCGAGTTCGTCGTCCGCCGCCGCCGCGCGAAAGTACGTCGCGCTCGCCGCATCACCGTCGCAGGACCCGACCGACTCGAGAAGCGAGGCCGAGCTGCGAGCGCTGCAAGACGACGAGGACCTGGACGCCTACTTCGAGGTCCGTCCGCCCTGCCCTCGCCTCGACGTGCCTGCTCTCGCAAACCTGACCTCGCTTCACTCCTGCAGGCGTTCCCCGAACAAGAACCGTACCGCTTCCCCAACTACGCCTCGTTCCAGGTCGGCTCGCCGAGCTTCAAGGCCAAGCGCCAGGTCAACGGCTGTGGGCCTCCTCCTCCTTCGACGACCGTCGCACCGCCTTCTTCTACGACGACGAGCGCTCCCTCGACGACTACTACCGCCGCAGTCACTCCTCGACAGCGCAACGAGTGCGTCCCGAGCTTTCTCTCGTCGTCAACCCGAGCCGCACTGACTCGTCGTCCCGCAGACTCTTCACGTGGCCTGGCGCCGTCGCTGGGCAGACGTGGCGCTACACGTGGAAGTCGTGGCAGGCGACGACCTCGACCAACTTCAACTTTCATCACGCATGGCAAATCTTGCGGCGCGACGGCTGCGGCGGCGCCGTGATCACGCTCGACTACCTCAGTGAGCTCCCCTCCCCCTTCTCAGTTCTTTGCGCCTCTTCGTCCTCGTCCTCGAACTGACACAGAGCTTCGCGCGACCCGCAGACGGCCAGGTCGTCATCACGGACACGGTCCGGGACTGCAAGCCGTGCGCGACGTTCAGCCAGGGCATCGAGTGCGTCTTTCGTCCCTCCCACTTTCTCTCGCCCTCAAGAGGTCTAGCCTGACTCGAGGTACGTTACCGCAGCGCCTGGTTCAACAAGGAGATCACGCACGAGTACGTCGCCTCGTTTCCCTCTCGCTCAGGCCCTCCCTTGCACATCTTCCCTCTCTCTCGCGCCCTCGTCCTGACTCGTCCACACACTCCTCGCTCCCCGTCCTCGCAGGATGACGATCACGTACGGCCTGAGCGGCTCGATCATGTACACCGCCTACGTCAAGGGGAGCGCGAAGCCGGCCATCGCCTACCGTGCGCAGGGCGACATGGGCTCGTCGGCTTCGCTCAAGATCGGCAACTACCGCCGGTCGACGTCGGGACAGCAGGCGTCGACGGCGTACATCGGCGCGTTCACCCAGACGAGGCTGGCCTGAGGCTCGCCTTTCTCTCTCACTCTCTGTCTCGTGTCTCTCTCTGTAGCACTCTCGGTGGCTTGGTCTTTCGCCGCACATCTATCCTGTCCGTCTCTCGTTGCATTAATCGTCTGTACGGGTTCCCTCTGGGTCTGGGCGCGCCGAGAGGCTGATCGAGAGCGGCGAGAGAAAGTACGAGAGAGAAAGGGGGACGAGTGTGGGCGAGGCAGCTCGCCGCTCGTCGGCGAGGTTGCGCACGTCGTCGCGCATGGCGCGACAGGCGACGAGAGGGCGCCTCGACGCTCGCGTCGTGCTCGGGACGGGCGAGCGAGCGCTTGGCGGCTGCTGCTCGTCGAGCCCGATAGCGTGCGCGCCGCCCGTCGTGTGCTCGAGAGGACGCCTCGGCACCGCTCAAGTCGAGCGCGATGTGGAAGCCGACGGCGACCGGGCTCGGCGTGCGCTGCAGGTCGTGCGAGGGCCTTGCGCGAGGGTGGGCGCGAGGCTCACGCCGGCTGAGGCGGGGCGGTGTCGACTGGCGGCGGCGAGTAGGTGTTCCAGCGGGCGGCGGCGACGGCGAGGAAGCCTGCGGGAGGGACGAGAGGGTCAGCGTCACTCGCGCTGTTGATGTGAGGCCAGGAGAGGAGGGGAGGGTGGGGCGCACCGAGACCCATCAAGCTCGCCGCACCCTTGCCGACGGGGGTCTTTGCGGTTGCGCGCGAGACGGTGAGGGCGTACAGTCCGACGGCGGAGAAGGTGAGGGTGCCCGTGATGCGGCACGACTGGCAGTCGGTGTAGACCTGGTCGGGGAGGGAGAGTCGCGGGGGCGAGGACGAGGTGGGCGCGTCTTGGGGCGCGTCTGGGCGGGTGCGCAGGGTCGAGGGGATGAAGCTGGACATGGTCCTGGTACTGCTGAGCCTGTCGAGCGTTGTCGGGGGACGAGGAGCGGGCAACCTCGACCGCGCTCCTCTCGCTGCGGCTCATCTCGGTGCTCGTCCCCGACTCGGCTCAGTCCACGCTCGACAGCGCACCGACAGCCTCGCCAGCACTGCACTCGCCAGCTGTCCCGCCACTCGTCCGACGCCAGCTCGCCCTCGCTCCTCTTCGCCTCTCCTCCCTCTCCACCTCGCCAACCTCGCGACGATGAGCGGCAAAGGGCTCTCCAAGGAGGACACAAAGACCGAGCACCCGTTCCAGGCCATCGTCCTGTGCGACAGCTGGGGCGAGGAACAGCGGTGGGGCCCGCTCGTCCGCCGCGCTCGCACAGAGGACGAGGAGTTCGACGAGGTCGACGTTGGAGGTGAACAGCGACCGTTCGTGCGTCCACCCTGTCCTGCTCGCACACGCGTCGCGAGGAGCCCTTGTCCCTGACCGTCCCTTGCCCGTCCTCGCAGTGCCTCCTTCCGCTCCTCAACATCCCCCTCCTCGCGTGGACCCTCGAGTCGCTGTCGGCGTCCGGCGTCGAGCAGGCCTTCCTCTTTGTCCACGACGGCGTCGAAGAGGTCCGCAAGTGGCTCGCGTGCGTCCAACGTCCCTTGCGCGCCCTCTCTCGAGCAACCGGACCTGACCCAGCTCCTCCCTCCTGCAGGTCGTCGAGCTTCCAGCTCCCGAGCTCCGACATCTCGATCGTCGTTCGCCCGACCAAGGCCCTCACGCCCGGTGACGTTCTTCGCGAGGTCGACGGCCTCCAGATCCTCGCGCCGGCCGACTACCTCGTTGTCCAAGCTGGCTACGTCGGCAACGTGGACCTCAAGGCCAAGGTCGACGAGTTCGCCGAGCGCAGGAAGGCCGACCCGAGCCTGTCGATGAGCTGCATCGTTCGCCCTATCGTCAACAAGTGCGTCCCCAACCTCGTCTTCTCGAGCTCGCCCTCGAGTTGCGCCCTGACCTCGCCTCTCCCTTGCGCAGGACCCACTCGACGTTCGCCGTCCACTCGCTCACGACCGACGCCCAGCTCCTCCACTACGAGCAGTCGTCGCTGTTCCCCAAGATGAAGACGTTCACGGTGCCGCGCGAGGCGCTCGCCGGCGGCAAGGACGTCCACACCCGGTCCGACCTCGAGGCCGTTGGTGCCGTCATCTGCAGCTCCGAGGTCGCGCCTTTGTTCACCGAGAACTTCGACTACCAGTTCTTCTACCCGGACTTTGTCAACGGCCTCCTCACGTCCGACCTCCTCGGCAAGACCATCTGCTGCACGATCCTCGAGCCGTCGTCGTCGCCGCTCTCGTCCGCCGCGACCGCCTCGTCCGGCGCCACCTCGCCGGCGTGGGCCGCCTACGTCACCAACACCAAGTCGTACGACGCCGTCAGCAAGGCGCTCCTCGCCCGCAAGGCGTACCCGCTCGCGCCCGACGAGAACATGCCCGACCGCTCCGGTCGGTACGAGCAGCGGCGCGCGAGGGTCTACTACGGCAAGGACGTCGACCTGTCTCGGTGCGTCTCCCTCTCTCTCCCTCTCCCTCGCGATGTCGAAGCCGCCGCAGCGCTCGCCGTCACGATCGCCCTCTGACGACCAGTTTTCCCCCTCCTCAGCACGTGCAAGATCTCGTCGACCTCGCTCATCGGCCTGTCGTGCGCCATCGGGCCCAACACGTTCATCACGCACTCGGTGCTCGGCGCCGGCGTGCGCACGGGGTCGTCGTGCCACGTCTCGGGCTCGTACGTTTTCGCCGGCGCCCACCTCGGCGACGGCTGCGTCGTGCGCGACAGCGTCATCGGCGAGGGCGCCGTAGTCGCGCCCGGGAGCGTCGTCGAGGGTGGGTCGCTCGTCGCGGCGGGCGTCCGGCTCGGCAAGGGCGCGAGGCTCGAGGGCTGCAGGGTGTCGCGCGAGGAGTTCGAGGGCGAGGTGCATGTCGGGCAGGCGACGTGTGCGTCCTCTCTCTCTTCCTTTCTCTATCCGGGCCGCACTGACGACGTCGAGACGATCCTGCAGTGGGCGAGGACGCGACGGGCTTCTTCTGGCCGGCCGAGGGGCAGGAGGACGAGGACGATGACAGCGACGACGAGGACGCCGTCGACCAGCGCAACCTGAGCGTGACTCGCCTCGGTGCGTCTCTCTCATTCTCTATCTCTCTCGCCGTCCTCATCTCGTGCCGCTCTGACACTCGAACGATCGTGCAGGCAACGCCTTGAGCAACCTTCGGCTCCACGGCTCGTCCTCGTCGCTCTCGAGCCTGTCGCACAACGGCTCGACCGACTCGCTCGGCACCGGCGGCTCGATGTCGGACGACGACGGCTTTGGCGGCTCGGACGACGACGCGCCGCAGATTGCCGGCCTCGAGTCGCTCCAGGCGACGTCGTCGGCGTCCAAGCAGAGCGAGTTCGTCACCGAGTGCGTCCACTCGCTCGACCGGTCGTTCGCCGAGAACCACACGGTCGACAACGCGGCGATCGAGCTCAAGACGCTGCGCATGGCGAGCAACGTGCCGCTCGGCGAGGTGCGGGCCGTCGTCATCCCGTACGTCCTGCGGCGGTGCGACGGCGCGGCGGGCGCGTCGGCGCTGCTCGCGCGGTGGGGCGGCCTCCTCGCCAACCTGACGGGCGAGCAGGAGGAGGCCATGGTCGACTCGCTCCTCGTCGCGCAAGAGTTTGTCGCGACCGAGGGCGCGGGCGACGCGCGCCTGTGGCTGCGCGTCCTCAAGGGCTTTTACGAGACGGACGTCGTCAGCGACGAGGCCGTCTTTGTGTGGTACAAGGACCCGAGGGCGAGGAGCACGGCGGGCGACGATGGCAAGAAGCTGTGGTCGGCGAGTCGGCCGTTCCTCGAGGCGATCCAGGACGACGACGACAGCGACGAGGACGACGAGGACGGCGACGACGACGAGGAGGACGACTAGACGCTCCCTTGCAACGGCGGGTCGTGCGAGACCCTGAGCGACGATGGAGAGCTTCCGAGAGCGAGCGAGAGGTCCGTCCGCCGCACCCTCTGCTCGAGTCTCGCTTGGGCTTCGACAAATCGTGTCAGGTAGTACCGAGTAGAATGCACCACGTCTCGACAGCCTGCGAGCCGAGGGCGACGAGGGGAGAGTGGTGAGGTTCTGGCCCCTCCGTCTCAGAGAGGCGGGCGGCTCTCCTCGCTCGCTCGCTCCTCACCTCGCACTGCTCGCACGACCCAGCCCTCCCTCCCCACCCTCTCCAACCCCCAAGCGCAATGTCTGCTCCCCTTCGCGGCTCTGGCCGCCCCCGACGCGGCCGCGGCGGCATCAGCGCCGTCGTGCCAGCTCCCTCTGCGCGTGACCAAGACCAGGGCACGTCCTCGCCTCTCCTGAGCTTGTTCGACCGCCCCGAGCCAGTCGACTGACCTCTGTCGACCGCCCACAGACGAGACGGAGGAGGTTCGCGGCCTGCGCGCCAAGTTCGGGAGCAAGCTGGCGACGGCAAAGGAGCTCTTCCCCGACTGGACCGACGAGGACATCCTGTACGCGATCCAGGAGGCCAACGGCGACCTCGAGGTGACCATCGTGCGGATGTCGGAGGGTGAGCACCTCTTTCCCTCCCCTCGCCGCCTCCTGTCGCGAGCTGTGCCCGCTGACCCCGGTCTCCCCTCTCCTCCTCCTCCTCCTCCTCGTCCCCCATCTCCCCCTCGCCTGTCGTGCGCCCCGCCATCCTCGCTCGCCTGCTCTCGTGCATCCCGCAGGTCTCGCTCAGCAGTGGGGCGCCGTCAAGACCAAGAAGGACAAGAAGGTCGAGAAGGCGGTCGCTGCTCCCCCGACCCCCGCCGCAGCTCCCCTCGCTCAGCGTGGTAGCTTCGTCGGGGCCGGCAGGGGCGGTCGCGGTGGCTTCGGTGCGTCTCCCTCCCCCTCCCTCTCTCCCACGCACCCCGTCACGGGCCCGCTCACGCGCTCTCTTCTCTCCCACACCTCGAGTGCGACGCCGTCATCTATCGGCACTGCGAGGCGTTGACCCGAGCGGTTCCTAACGCCCCTCAGGCGGTACTTTGGCACGCTCTGGGCCGGCAACGAGGCCGTCGCCGCACGGTGCGCCGACGTTTCTCTCTAGTCCTTTCACTTGCCTCACCCATACCTCTATCTCTACCTCGACATCGTCGATGGCGACGAGTACGACCGTGTACTGACCCAC